TTTATCCCCCGCGCGCGTATAATATAGCACACGCACGCCAACTTATTCTTCCCTCTGTCTCTCTCGCTGCTATTAAACACAACGCCCGGAGCGATGATTTAGCGACGTCGCTTCTTCCACTCCCTTTTTTTTTTTTTTTTTTTTTTCAGTCGCAAGGAGATGGATTCGAGAGACATAGACTCTCACCCCTTTCAATTTATTCAAATTTGTCCTCCGAGCATTAATCAACCGCGACGTGCAGTTCTAAATGTACACTTGGGATGGCGGGTACACACTCCGTTTCTCTGACCGGGGCCATTATTGCCCATCGAATGAATAAACAAGTGAGAAGAAACGAACGCGTCGACTCGGAAGCGGCGAAACAGTCGCGCAAGGAGGAACATCAATGCCAACGCGTATTTGTCGTTCTCGAGCTACCGATGTGGTTTTTTCTCCCTTTCTTCTTCTTCTTCTTGTCGTTCCGGAGTACAAAGCAAACCTCGAGTTCTCAATTTGCAACCACCCGTTTTATGTACAGGCGAACGCGAATAGTCTTTTTTTTTTTTTTTTTTTTTTTTTTCATTCCTCTTTCCTTGGGAGGGAGTAATTCCGTGATTGGGGCATAAATAACAGAGCTGCCACACTGCTACCGCTCAAATAAATCGGGCAAATAAAATTTACTCGCCCTGCGATTGCCTGCACGTGCAATTCTATTGAAATTACAAAGCGAGGGCCGGATCGTACGTTCGAGCGAGAGTGCAGTCACGGTAGCCGGTGAGTTGTACGAAAGCAAGGCCAACATATATTATTTATTCATGTAATTGAGCGCCAATCGTCCTGCCAACTCTCGTATGGTTTGAGCCAAAGAAACTACGCTGCCGTTAAACCGACTCGATTAGCATTTTGTTGTAACCATGGGTTGTCATATACACCACATTTCTTGCAATCTCGTGGATACCCAGAGCTTCGAGTAATGCATCGTCAGCGGGAGACGTGAGTATATACATTTCTTTTTATTCAACCCTCAATTTTTTGTGCTCGAACAAGCGCGTCGTACACGGAGTATATTTGTTTGGATCTCGAGGAGCTATACAGTTACATTAATGCATATCATCGGCGGCGTAGGAAAATATAAAGTGAGATGAGTAACAAAGCGTGGAAATTCGGGCGAATCACGCCCCTCGTCCGGGACAGCCAGACAATTCGTACAGTGGGGCTTGTGGTCGTAATAGAGAGAGAGCTCCATTGCTTGTACATTATACCTACCCGATCCGAAAAAGTTGTTTGTCGTTTGTTTTTTCCTGTTTAGCCGAAAGCGCGTACAATACCTAATGTACCAGTATCAGACGAAAACTGGAGCAATGCCGCCAGTACTTACGAGTAGAGTGACGAGGCAAGAAAATATAGGGAGCAATCATGTGTGTGGAGGAGTACACGTACTTATCATTTGCGCAGTACACCACGAGCTTTAATCGACGACCCAGATGTACCTACAGCAGCCCCCCATGACGATCAAATTTATCAAGTACATATATGTATATATGTATACGTTTGCGAGAGAAGTTATGCAAACTTTGTACAGCTCGGCGCCACGCAAGTTGCGTTTATACCATTTCTGCAAGTGTTACCTATATATATACCACCTTTTACTTTATCGCCCATCGCGAAATGGGACCTGCTTTCACGGGGTCTCCAACGACCGGAAGCATAAATTATCTACGTCTCCGCAGTTACGACTCCATACATCCACGCCGAGACCCTTAAAACCCTACCTTTTTTTTTTTTTTTTTTTTTTTAACCGGTCTTGTGCACATTGGAAGTCTTGGAAGAGGTTGAAAGCCATCTCGGAAAATCTGTTTCAGAGGCCGACGAGGAAAAATGTTAACGCTGGACGGTACAAGTGTACTTTTACGGGTTTTTACGGGTGATTTTTTAATACCGGGAACAACGTGGAAGTTTAAGGGGTTCTCGTTTGTGCCACCACAAAATAACGCATCAAGTGGTAAGGCTGAGTACTAAAGTTTGAAGGAGGGGGAAAAAAAAAATCCAAGTATTGTAATTTGAAACAGCAATTTTCGACACACGAGTCCAAGCTCGATAATCCATTAGATTTTATTTACCAAATATGCAATGAATAAACAATGTGCCATTGAATAGGAATTATAGATATAATTTTCGTCGGAGCCAATAAAAAAAAGCAAAAAGCTTTGGTAAAAAGACAAAGCAGTATAAAAGAATACGCCGAGGGCGTTTCTCGGAAGGTGGGCTCTAACGTAATTTAACGGAGAGTCATTACTCGCGGCTATCGAGCACAGCACTGCGAGTGGTAAACAATTCAACGGGAAAATAATTGGAAAAACCAAAAAAAATCAGACCTCTTTCGAGCTCAAGGGTCGTAAGGGCGTGAAAATTTCAGTACCGTTATTCCCGCGAAAATATTTCCCCGCACACGTAGGAGTTAGTATCGAAGCTCAGTCGCGCGTCGGCGGATTAATCAAATTTATCGCCAGTGATTACCCCATGCGGGCATGTACACACATATACATGTAAGGTATAGGTACGCGCGTGCGGGAGAAGGTAGTGGTATGCAGGTATATATCCGCGGGGCAACAAGTTGTCGGCCGTTTGTCTTTGGGCTTCCGTGCACTGTGACGTCAGAGCCGACGAGTCCCGATTCTTCTAGCCCCCCGAGCTTGGAATCTCGTCGCTGGATAACGTCGTCCTTTTAGTGGCTCTCGCGTGGAATTTATCGGAGAATAAGCGCGGCGCGTAAATTAACGGCCGACGTTAACGCCACCCAAGTTTTCAACGACACACACACATGCGGGTGTTCTCTTTTGAATCTGCGATACACCTTATATGTATGAGGTACTCATCGTAAATAATAAACTTGTACCGAAGTCCCCGGTTGGTTGTGCGAGGTAAAATTGTTGTATTTATTTATTACATTAACCGGTTTTAATGTGCACCCACTTTCGCAATATAGGTAGAGGTATTATACACGGGTACACTTGCCGCGGTGGACGAGCAAAAGGAAGAAAAATCCGTCTCGCGAGTACTCGCATTGGATATTAAGTACGAGGGGAAAAGAGCTCGGGTTTGCATTTTTAAGGGACGCGCGTGTGGCAAAAAAGTTCGTGCTCAGCGATTGCTTCGCGGGAAAAGAAAAAAACGTTGCTTAGCAACAAATTGGTCACATATAATATGGATGGTGCGGGGGAGCTTTTTCTCGATACAACGGAGAGGAAAATCACGGGTTTTAATAAGGTAAAAGGCCTCGCTCGTTAAGTTAAAACGTGCCCGGTGTCCCGTACAGCTTAATAAAATTTTCGATTAACCGATGATGGCAATGCCGTATACTTATTGCACCGGAATTCCCCTTTTTTAGCCCTCCTAAACGCGCGCAGTTTTAATCCTCGAAGTAGCGCGCGGCCCTCGGCGTTAAAAAACCAAATCTACCGAGCAATATGCATGGCGCAACGCGAGGTGCTTTTAATCGCCCAGTGGAGCTTCATTTTCGCGTAATGGCTGCGGAATATACATTGCGCGACTTGCGCACCGATTTCTCCCTCTCTGCTCTATACGGTGCAACGCAACTGCATATATATATATACCACAAATAGCTATGGTGCAACATTTGCAAGCTGCACGCGTCCCCCCCATCGTGAATGAGTTAGCTGTAACAGCTGCCTCCCCCGCGACTCGGTTAATCCCCGAGCGAGCCAATCAAGACGACGCTTCTATTATTTCCCCGATGCTTTCGCACTTATGGAGTACAATAAATGTGTATTTATACCCTACACCTATACACCTTGTGCATAATAATACGTGTATATATATGCACGTGATTTGATTGTTGTTTTTTTCATGCCTTATACGTTTGATTTCCCGACCACGGGAAGGAAAACGCGGCGGGTTTGAAAAACGAATGTTTAAAAAAAAAAACGCTCGCGCGAGTAATTATCCGTTTGAGGCCGGGGCTGAAATTGCAGACGGGCGGGGGTATCGCGTTACGCCCCCCGGCTTGATATAATTTAAAAATCAAAATGAAAAAAAAAATGAAAAAACCATCCAAGCTCATCTCTGGAAGGGGCAGTAGTTAGTAGCCCACACAGCGGTGCGCTAAAATTTTCAGAGCCAACCGAGCGGGCATGTAAAGGGATGCGCCCGCCGTCGGGGTGGAAAAAAAAAAGTGTCGACGTCAATTTACACTTTTTTGCGGAGGCCCAGCCTCGACGTTTTATTCCTTCCTTTTACGTTTTACTATACCGTAGGTATAGGTATATGTTCGTTGGGACGTTTTTTTTTTTAATTTCCTTTTTCTCTTCGAGCAGAACAACTCTAACGGCTGCAGAGAATGGCTCTCTTTGCCACCCCTTCCCCCGTAGCCGTAAAGTGGTATTTTCTTGAGTTTTTCTCGAATAAATACCCGAGAAAATATATATATATACATGTGTATAGTTGTATCATCATCCGGCACGTCGGAGCTGACTAACGAGCGAAGGATACAAGTTTATTAGGCAGTGGCGACGCCCTCTTGACTATGTACACCCTGCCGAATGACTTGAAGCCCTAGATAAACGCGCAATTGACTCGTCTTGGGTTCGTTTTGCTGTATCCCACAGTGGGTACGTATAATATACCTGTATAGTCCGTAGGGGTGTGAAAAAGCTTGGCGGACAGCTCGACGTGCTTGTAATGAACCACGTACAACCGTGTATTTTTTCAGTCACGTGTAGGTATACACGCAATCGCTGATTTTGCACCGTTGAAAAAAAAAAAAAAAAAATTATTGATCTTTATACAATGACTGAATTTAATTCCCCCGTTGCTCAATGATGAGATGTGAACATTTCATGCAATAAAAAGAAAAAAAAAAAAACAAAAAAAAAAAAAACAACAATGTGAGTACGAGAGAGGAATAAGTTAAAAAATTTAAATACAAATGAACAAAATCTACCTAGTCTCGGTTAATTTTAATGGTGAACGATAACAATGATGATAATAATTTGAACTGACAGACAGATCTGCAGTGAGGGTCCAAACAGTCGGTGCAGTGGGAAAAATAAAAAAAAATAAATAAAAAAAAGAGCAACAGCGGCAGAGGGCACCTCATCAGGGATGCAGAAGAAAATCGCGCTCCCCCGATTGCTGCTGGCGGCCGTGGTTCTCGCCGCCTTCGCCGCCTCCTACCCCACCCAGGCTCTACCGTACAGGTGAGCTACTCATTTATATTATATATACATAATACCGCTCGTCCGATTATTTAATTTCAGTAAGCTCGGCGCTGTACAACCTACACCTATATCTACCCTCCAGGTGTATATCATATTACACATATATAGTAGATAGGGACCGGGGCACACATAAACAAGGAGCTTGCAACTACATACCCCCCGCCCCTTCTCCGAAGATGTTTACTTTAAGCTTGTTTCCAGGTTGCACGCGCGGATGCGGCTTACGAATTCATAATGAGATATACCCTCGTGTTAATCAGTGCTGCGGGAAGAAAGAAAGAATAAGTTATACCCCGGGAGATGGACGATCTCGTCTTTGCTTCTCGTTATCTCAAACTCGGTGCTGGTGATGAGGGCGCGTATCTGTATGCGTATACGTATATACATCCGCACACGCGTTCGTCATGCGTTAAATTCAATGGCCAATTATAGCGGCTCTCTCGCGCGCGACTTTGAATTGCGGCGGTCTTTGCATTATACCCCAGATGATACTATAGGAGTGCTGCTACATACCCGTTATCCATATGCATATACACGCAATTATCTGAAATTTCATTGGGTTTGATGTGATTTTTCGATGCGGGGAAAAAAAAAAGAAAAAAAGAAATATGACCATGTGGTGGCACTTGTACGAATTTACTTTGTAGACTGGCGTACGACGAGCGACGGGCAGCTTGGAATCCGTATCAGATGGATTATCCCGACGCCACGCAAGAATTGCTGGAAAGGCTGGAGAGCATGGGTCTGATCAGGGCACCGGAAGAGTAAGTATACATCAATAAATTATCTTCAATTTATATTTATTTTACATTACATTGAACGATGCAAAATTAAATTATGCTTTCGTACACCTTGTAATTATTAAAACATACAACGCAAACACCCGATGATGGCTACATTGGTAATTGGATGGTTACAGCCAGAAGCGAAGCCTCGATTTGGGCCTGAACCGCGGCTACAGCGGCAGCCAAGCGGCTAAGCACCTCATGGGTCTCGCGGCCGCCAATTACGCCGGCGGTCCCGGAAGAAGGCGCCGCTCCGAGTCAGCCGCGTAGACGATCACCACCACCACCACTTCCGACTCGGCTCTCGCGAACGCTGCTACTCCTTTTCTCGATTCCACCAAAGACACTCAGCCCGCGTAGGGGACGCACTGCAGACACACCAATTATATACTCACCAGCTGGTGCATGCCCGTTATGTTACTTATTCCATGTTCTCCTATTTATCGATACATTTTTTTTTTTTTTTTTTTTTTTTTTTTTTTTTTTTTTTTTTTTTTTTTTTTTTTTNNTTTTTTTTTTTTTTTTTTTTTTTTTTTTTTTTTTTTTTTTTTTTTTTTTTTCTTACGTGCTGTACTTAACCCATGTACGTCGCTATGGTATCGCTCGCAAGACGCACAAAATTATACACATTATACAAGTAGTCACTGCTTACTCCTTGTTGTTATATATTTAATGTTAACGTCTTCGATCGCAATTGATTTTTTCCTGCGCGCATTATCGCTTGATGGACGATTTTCGCTTTTCTGGCAATTTTTAATGAAACGTATTTTCACAACGATTCCACGCGACCAAACCCGCATCATGATTGATAAACGCTTTGCAACATATTATTCAAAACAAATGTAGTTTACGGTCTTGTCGAAGATTTCATTGCGTGACAGCTGCAAGTAGTACATACTTTCTTGATTCGATCGAAATCGAAATTTTACGCCATCCACTGTTATTACATACATACATTATAAAATAGTTTTGAAAACATGTGATTACATTATTAGGACTGTGTTAAATGAAATGGCTAATTATTTTGAAACTGTATGGGAAATAAATTTAAATCAAATATATATATATATACGTACACATGCATATTTGTGGAAAGTACAATTGTTGTAAAGTATAAATATGATTTTAATGGATTGAAAATGCAAGTGTTGTCTGTAAAGATTCTGTTGAGTATTAAAAAGCTTTCAAAATTTTTTTCTTTTTTTTCAAATGGAGCTTACAACACGTAATTCGAATGTCTTTTCAATTCGCCTCAAAAGCCTTTACAAGAATTGTCATACAATAACGATAAAGTTCTAGAGAGTAAACAATTAAACTAAAATTATGTGTCGTTGATATGTATTGTGAACCTTATAAAACACACAAACAAAAATTATGTGCAGCGCAACGAAAAAGAAAAAAAAACTGAACTCGGAGAAAGGGAGAAGAAAAAAAAAGGACGTACGTAAATTAATGTATATTAAATCGATGTTCTATTGTATAATTACCAAAGAAGTAGTACGTCGCCACGTGAGAATCGCAGGATCGAAATAATTCAAAAGGAATTTCTAAAAACTCACGCTGTCATGGCAATTTCGCAAACTTGGCACGTGCACTTTCACGATCAGTATTAAAATAATGTATTACGCATGTGACCCCATCGGCATAGATCGTCCATGCGCGTATAATATATAGATGTACACACGAATAAACGCACACTATTATACATGACGTGTTTTGCGGAACTTGGCTAATCATTTATTTTACAGTTGTATATAGATAAAAGAAAACTGTCATTGTTTGTACACGCATAATATGTAACTAAGCTTATAGTGATGTTAATATTATTTTTATATATGAATTACTTCACACTCGGTTGACCATCAAATTTTACAGCATGGCTTTTTATCAAACTTTTCCATGTTTATAAAACCATTTTAGTTCAACGTAAACAAATACTAATTTGTTTAAGCATAAACTATTGTATTGTTGATTTTAAAAGACGGATCAGATAATTTCAGAGAGATACCAAAAAAAAAGTTAAAATAAAAATTCTTGCACTGTACTATGTGTGTCTCACCATAAATTCTTTCCTAAATGTAGGTAGAAAAAAATTGTCGCTTCGCTAAACTATCAATACATGCGCACAGTAGAATGAGAAATAGTTATTTGTACTAAAATTAGAAAGAGAATAAATGTTTACTATGTACGTTGTTTTAGAGCAAAAATCCTAATTAATTTGAATAAACAGTACTTTCGGTCATGTTTTTTGCAATAAAATTTTCAAACTAACGAATGGCATATGAAAATTAGTACGGAAAATGGCACGTGCTACGTAAAAAGCTGTGACGATCAATGTGACATCAATCCTTAATATTATACGTGTGTAATAGATATTGTATGAAAAAAAAGTTAATCTCTCCAAAAAAAGAGAAAATACTTGTGTACTTTATTATTTCTAGATAGAAGTTTTATCGTTTACGTATATGTTTAATTCCTGCATCGATTGATAATCATCAAACCAGGAACAAAAAAAACCCATGACAAAATGATGAATTATATTTATTTACAACATTTTCATTTATTTACCCAATAAAAACTAGTAAACAGTAATTTTATTTTTTCCAAAGCGCTGTTGTAAAACAACACTTTGTTTTATCAACAAAACCAAAAGCGCGAACAGTTAACCAATTTTCATTGTATAAAATTATGAAACTGTTACGCGTAATTAGGTTTATTTTTCTTGCCTATGCTTTGAAAAAGAGAAAAAATTAGAAAAAGTTGGGTACATAGTATACAAACATTTGTGCATGTTTTTGAAAGTTGATCAGATACCTTTATAGCGCAAAATGTGAAGAAAGGAATTAGTTGAATGAAAAAACGTGGGTCGAAAAGACGCAGGAAGTCGCATATCGAGGATCAAATAAGTATATTTTTAAGCAATGGTTTATTTTCTATGTTAGAGATTGAAAAAAAAAAAAAAAAAATAGGAAAAAAAAGTAACTTGTTATTTTATGATTGTAATAAAATGAAACAAAAAACGAAAAAAAAAAAATCACATTTCATTATTCTCCTATACGTATGTAAGCACCTGACTGTTACCATGAATCGATTAAATGAAAAAAAAAAAAAAGCATAAACAATCCATGAAGATATTCAATTATTTCACTACGAGTTTATCGAAGCAAAAAGACCCTGAAGGAGGTATAGGCGTGGCACCCGTCCCTCGTACATACGCTCCTGGTATCCCATACGCAGTGACGTATCAAAGGAAATAGAAAAAAAAATCGGTATACATGTTAGTGTGTGCGCTAGAGCGAGGGAAATACATATGTATATAACCGCTGCGCCACAGTGGCACAGTCGGCCGATTATCGACTCTCCGTCTCGTATGAGTTCGATGGGCAACCAAATAGGTAGTGCTAGCCTCGCCCCGGATATCGAGGAAGAGGCATCATGGAGCTACAGCTGCCGTCGATCATCGGGTGACAAATAGCCGAGCCGACGTGTTACATACGATCTCACGAGACAGTACAACAAACATATAATAAAGTAAGTGTTAGAGCACACTTTCTATATACTCACTATCTTCGCGAGGAGCGGCTTTGCTGCACGTTGATGTGAAGTGTACAGTATAGAGTAGTGCGATGATAGTCGGGCACAGCTTACAGCGCCACGGACGGTACATCGGCGATCGTTTCTCTCACTCGAGCTTTCATCATCGAGTACTTACCTGTTTTGGTTTCAGTTTACTTGACCGATCGTATCGTTATTAATAAAATACTTTTCTGGGGTATTTGTGAAAAAAAAAAAAAAAAAAAACATTGTGAAATTCGTAGATACATCATTTTACCGATCAAACGAAGAGCATGGAGAGCCGGAGCCAATTGTTAAGTGTCTGTCAGACCAAAAAGAGGAAAACATGCGTTTCGGTCGTGGCGCTTGCAGTCACAATCGGCTGCGTCCTTTTCGCTTTCAAAGCTTTCGGGGAGAAACCAAAGGACCCGTCCCTCAAGAAAGTATTCATCGTAAGTACAACATAGTTTATTTATGATGGTAATCGTTTTTTTTTCTTTTTTTTTTTTTTTTTAAACAAACAGAAAAATACTTTCTTGATTCGCCATGTGATTCAAACGAAAAATTTCTGCCTCGAAAGATTAAAAAATCGAGGGAATCTTGATTGGGTCTGATTACAAACGCGAATTTTTTGCCAAGCTTAAGCACATTGTCAATTAACACGCTTTTGGCAATGCGGGATTTTTTGTCGGCAAAATATTAAATATACTATACATTACAGACGAAACACATTGCAGTCCATTGAACATCAATTGATGCGACATCATATTATTTGCATGAAGATTTTCCCTTTCAATACTAATTATATTTTCAACATTTGCTCATACACGCGTTTATTGTCTTTTATCTCTTGTTTATTTTTTTATTCGCTAAATTTGATAATGTTTGGGTGTATACGATAACGTGAACCACCGATATGACGTGGAGCTCGAAGCGTTTTGGATTTCCCAGCAGCAGCAACGAATAATTTAATTTTAATTCACCTACGATAATGTGCTTTCAGGTTTTTCGTCACGGCGACAGAAACCCGACAGAAACTTATCCCAATGATCCACACGTGAACCATCTTTGGCCCGGCGGTTGGGGAGCTCTAACTAAGGTATGCCATTTTCAAGTGTATACATAAAGTAGACGTCCAGTGATTCTCGTCACCAAACTTGGGCACAGATAATTTTTTAATTTTCCTACAGTATTTTTTTTTCTTTTTTTTTTTTTTTTTTTTCGCGCGACAATCGCGCACGTTTGTGTGTTTGTACATGTACACACATACGTATACCTACGATGATAAAAATAATAACGGCGCAGACACGAGATCGGTACGAGTATACGTATATGATACGGATACATATATATATACATGAGCTAGCGCGCGAGCCGAAAATTTAATTGGCANTTTTTAATTTCAAAGACTTTACAACAAACTTTAGTACATAAAATGTATGTGTCTGCCAGAATAAAAAAATGATTGTAATATTTTATTGTGAATGGTATAGTGAACCAAAAGTTCTTTTGAGCAAAACAAATGCACTTTATTTGGGGAAAAAAAAATTTGTCATTCAAAGTTTTGAAAAATCCAGTAAACAATTGTGCCCAAGTCTACCTGTCGCATTACCATTCATACGTGAAAAAATGTACGAATATACGCGTGTGATTTTCAGCTCGGCATGAAGCAAATGTACACGTTGGGCCAGTGGGTGCGTAGCAACTACGGCTACGTAACGGACCACACGTACGTCCCGGGCAGCGTCGTGGTAAACTCGAGTTACGCGGACCGTTGCATCATGTCGACCCAGGCGATGCTCGCCGGACTGTACCCCCAGGACGAGGAAGAGGCCTTTGTCCAGGGACTGCCCTGGCGACCCATTCCCGTCCACTACTTGCCCAGGGAGTTGGACCAGGTTGCAATGCTCTTTGATTTTCATTTGATCATCGTTGTACCGCGACTGGACGCGGGAATAAGTACACGTGCCAATTGAATTTTGACTTGTCTGTTGCAAAGGTCCTGGTAGTGAAAAAGCCGTGCCCGAAATTGGATGCCGCGCTCGAGGAGGCGTACCGCAACGAGTCGCTCAGATCCGACGAGGAGTCAAAGTCCTACTACGAAAACCTGACGCGACACACGGGCCAAATGGTGAAAACCGTCACGGACGTCGAGTTTCTCTACAACACCTTGGAAATCGAGGTAAACGTATTTTTCAAGCATTTCCTTTGAAGAGCCAAAATTGAGCGAGTGCTTGCGCAGGAAAAAAATGGACTGGTACTTCCGGAATGGACCAAACAGTACTACAACGCCAAGATGCGGGAACTGGCCGCTCGTAGTTACACGCTATTCACGAGCAACGCACTACAACAGCGACTCCGAGGAGGTACATGGCCTGTCTCTATTTAATCTTCCAAAAATGCGGGCTGCTCATTTGTATTTTAATTCGTATAATTTTGGCGGGGCCATTAAAGGCCCGTTGCTTAAGCACATCTTGGACAACATGAGAGGTGGCAAAAAGGAGGAAAAAATCTTCTTGTACGGCACCCACGATCTGAGTATCGTCAACACTTTGCGAGCCATGGGTTTCGTAGACGAGCTCTTCAAGCTCGACGTGGGCGCGACGCTTATTTACGAGCTCAGAGTCGCCAGGGGCGGCCAGTCACGCGTAGTCCACGTGAGTTGCGCTTTATAAGGTTTTTCGATGGCGATTTAATTTTTGTCAAATTTATTTTTTGCAGATTTCCATGTTAAACAACACCGAGCAGGGAACACCTCCGCATAGCTTGAAAATACCCGGCTGCGAGAGCGATCCGTGTCTACTAGATGAATTGTTCGACGTGTGGAGTGACGTACTTCCAAACGACTGGGACGAAGAGTGCAAAGCGTAAATTTTTTTTTTTATCAATTTGTTTATTTTCAATAGCGAAATGTCAAGGACAAGCGTAACGCCACTGTGAACGAATCAAGATGCATACGTTAGGCAGTTGCGCGTTTCAAGTACTCTTTCGATATCGAGACAATAAATCGTGTGTTTGACGATAGAAACAATAAGCTACGTTTGCCAATCGACGCGATTGTAGTACTTATATACATTATGTTAATTTGTACAATGTGCCCATGTTGTGATTGTATACTTGTGATTCACACTACCATACATTGTATAGTTGTTACAGTTGATATACATATATATTGACGAATAATTATGAAAATATAAATATTTTTTGTAAAATTGTTAGCAGTACTTGAAAATGCCATTTAAAAAAAAAAAAATATATTCTCCTGTTGGGAACTCATTACGACGTAACACGTTTGATCGACAAAGTGTGTACCTCTTTTAAACGGAAAACAGCAATTCATGCCGTTACTGGCATGTAGGAATAAAAACAACTAGGCTATTTTCTTCCTTTGAGGAGATTCGTGATTTTTAACTAGTTTTTCTCCCACGGTATTTGTATTGAAAATGAGTGTCTACTTGTTATGTGTCGTCGAACCGAGACGTCACTGTGAGCAGACACACCAGTGTCGGCAACAGTATAGATACGACCGACTTTGAACCGTTAGATTAAACTCCATCGGTCACACCTCTGACGCGCGACTCTTGCAAAAACGAACGATTCCCACGCCGATGGATCCACTTACTTCGTGGACCAAGAGGGGAAACTGGGTTTTTTCATTCTCTCCAAACGCTGCGCACTCTCATTTTTGTGACTTTGCCCTGTTGCACTTGATTGGCCGTTCATTAGCTACTATTCAGGTTTTGCTCATCGTAAAAAAGTTGGCGGACACTCGTCTAACCAAGAAAGACGTGTTCGAGAGGTTTACATATACCCGGAGAAGTATAGACGTGCAGAGCGTGGCCGGCCAATCGATCTTGCGCGCTTATCTGACAAATTGCGGATTCGCAACGTCGAGTCCGGTTAGCGCTCCGATTGACGCGAAACACTTGAAATTCGCGCTTATGTATGATTCATTCTCTTATACCTGATACATATAGCAATGGGTAAGTACGACGAGGGCAAACAAAATTTCCATTGTCCAAGGCGCTTCTTTCAGTGGAGTTTATATTGCGTAAAAGCACAGGTAATATAGTTGCGAAGTGGCGAAGAACAATTTATTGGGTAAACGTGGATAGGTGCCAAAAGGGAAGCCCAGAAAATAGAGAATACTTACGTCATCTATAATTAAATGGAAAAATAAAAAATCTTTGTACAAATTTTTTCTTTCGTTTTTCTCTGATTCATGGGCATATGCATAACGTGGTATATATTTACTTCTCATTCACGTTTGTTCAGCTTTTAAGAATATCATTGTTATTACTCATTTTATTTATTCGTCGAGATTATATACCTATGTATGTATGCGTTGATACACGTGTAAAGTATACGTTGTTTTTACAGCCTCATCGATGTCGGCTCCCTCTATTTTTATGCCTGGGTAAAAAAGATAAGAAAATAAAAAATAGAAGCTGCATAGTACGCGGAAGAGTGACTGTACTATGTGTCATTTTATCTAGCACCCGACTCGTTTGATGGATCTGTTTCACAAACAATTTGATTCGAAGACGATATCTTTGGCAAAAATGAAAACGCAACGCATGCATCAATACATTTTAATAAACGATGCCTATAGAAAATTGATTTTCCAAATTTTATAAAAATTGCATACGGGTATACTGTATGACTTTCGAACGAGGTGTCAAAAGTAGCGTGACTTTTAATACCGAGGCATCGTTGTTACACGTAGGTACAACAAGTTACGTAAAACACCAATGCGCTGATGGCAAACACGACGTGACGCGCCATCACCTAGATTTTTCAACCGATGTTCTAAAAATAAAAAAAAATGAAAAACCAACTCCAACATCGCGGAAGACAAAAAAAAAAATCTGTAACTATAGTGTATACGAGAGAGCCAGAGCTATCTGCAATGGCACAAAGTCGATCGACGTAACAAAGGCGCTACAGAGGATTTTTGCGATAAATGCGTTAATTTATCCTCTTTACACCGCAGACGTAACGCAAACGCACACGAATCGAGCAATGAAAACGACAAGCGAACCGAGCTCAATTGGTTTCATGACATTACATACATATATACACACACACACCTAAAACATGTCAAAGTTATCATCAGAGACATTCGGTGTCGGCCCGTGCGTAAACGATCCGATTGTCTGCACGCATATATCATATGTATATATATATACATAAAATGCAATGAACCGATTCCGGGCGACGAAGCGCGCACATTGTATAATATATTTATACGGTCCGCATCGGAAGGACGAGCTCTTAAACGACGACGGCGGCTGGACCTACGTATGTATACATATGTACTCCTACTGTTAATCGCCCGTCAGCGCAAATCGTTACAGTCCCAAGTACGAGAGACGCTTTGAAATAAAAGAGTCCTGCACTTGCGCAACTGGTGTTTCACCGTTTCACGTAACGGCGAGCGATACCTTAGAGCATATACATAATACATATAATCTGTATATAATATGCTCTAAGAGCGATACAGAGCGCTCGTTGTGTGTGGCCACACAGCATTTATATGGGACATCCCGAGTTTTGCGAGGAACAATCGCACCGGTGTGTGGACGGTTATAGTTAGGCACATGTATTATATATGCACCATTGCAACGAGAAACGGAAGAATCGAGAAGGTTGTGAATTTGACGAAGCTCCGAGTTGGTCCAGTTTGCACCGGAGGTGGGCCGAAAAGTGTTTTTTCATCATTTAATACGCGCTAAAAGTATACATCATGCATGTGGGTTAGTTACCATTACTGCCCGATGGAGTCTCGAACGGCAGATAAGACTACTACGCACACATGCCTAGACGCGTATTGGGTCAATGTTGAGATAGCACTGGTTCTTGTAAATCATCGTTTCGCGACTCGCGCGAGACGATCACGTATGAGCGTGTGCATGCATATAGCTACCCAAACACATATACATATTATACCTTTAGATACGTGGAGTGAGAGTCGGGGAGATAACGGCCGAAACTCGTATGGTCTAAATTTCAGCCGAATATATTGAGCGTCAAATTCACTTGGCCGTAACGACGAAATCGATGATATCGGCGCTATACGCGTAGAAAAAAAAAATCCTCGTACGTGGACGAGAGCGCGGAGAGATAAGATTAGTCATTGGCTATCTGTGGCTTGCGGAGCGTGAAAAATCCAACTCTGTTATTTCATTTCGAACAAACTGCTACTCCGATGAAACGTCCATGAAAAAAAAAAAAAAAAAAAAAAAAAAAAACGCTTTTTTTTTACACGCGCGGTTGACGTTTAGAGCTACCTATCTAGTAATATGGTGTGAAATCGACACACGTCACTATAATATAGCATACTGCATCCATCGGAGCTTTGAAAAATATCAAGCGTTCTACAGACGTACAACTATGACGATGAATCACGCGAAGCGCGCCCAATTATCATCACCTCGCGACGGAGCGCGTATAAGTACCGCGTACATGTACAAGGAAGATTGTAGGTACGATTATATTGGGCTCGCCATCGCCGCCACTCCCAAACTATGGATGGCAACGCGATGGCACGCATACCCATCCCCGGCGGGTGTATTAAATGTATTCGAGCTGATATTATAGCTTTGTCCGAAAATTGAGGTAGATGTGTGTGTAGGACAAGCCGTGCAACGTACACGAGCATTAGACTCGTCAGTTTGGTCGCGAAGCCGGTGGCGCGTGCACGCGCTGGTAAGTGTCCCCGCGAGTCGATTGTTGTTCGAGTCTCATTTTTATCAAGTGTACATCGTTACGCCACCATCACCTACAACATCAACATACGTATAGGTACAAATCCCTTATTGTTTTCCATCCCATCCGTCGAAGCTTCATATGTAGATACTTACCTGATGTATCCCTGCAGTGATCGGTTCAGACTTTTGATTGACAACTTTTTGGAGGTGCATCAGACGTTACGCGTACTCGGTTTGTTCTCCACGTGCTTCGGCGGCTATCGAGTGACATATTCTGGCTGTGTAACTTATAAGTGTATAACAACCAACAAAATGTCTACAACACCTACACCCGTTTCCATAGAGTCGCGTATATCATATTACACAGTGTGCTCCATTGAAATCGGTAATCAGGTTGTTAACCCATGCACGTGGGTGCGGGCTTGTTTGTTGTAATGTACATACAACGCGTAGGTACAGGTGTGCTTATGTTTGTGATAGGTCCGGGGTGTCGGGACCTCCTCTAAATCGCGTATTAGGTATACACACCTGACTCTATGTATTTAATTTTCCAGTACGCGATAAATATGGTACTATTATCTGCGCTTTGCCAGTCTGGACATTTAAATACCTAATATATATACTTACTCTGCTGTACAATGGTGTATTTTCGCGTGCATATTATCTGTGTTTCCTCGTATATATACGCGGAGCGCGCACATAAGTTCTTGAAATAACAATTGTTATTGCATAACTCTCGTTCGCTCGATTGACAAAAAAGTTATACTTAGTCTGTAACTGATTGGGGTAGGAAAATTCGTTTACCCCTCTAGGCATGTACTACCTTATATTTTATATACCTATATATGATATTCAGTGGATAGATTTACATTTTTACAGCGGATTTCCAGTCGATTACGTATACATCAACTGCGTTTACTCAAAATTCATTGCATTATAGGTACACACGCGCACGTGTGTTTTTTGGAAATTGACTTGCGCCCAGGTTGATTGTACCGTCGTAGAAATAAGTAGTATGGATGACTGTACAGTCAGAGGTGTACCTATAACTTGTTGATATTTTTTAAGGTACATTTTTCGGTTTTTCCCAACATACGTAGCAATAAGAAATGTGTATATGTATATGCCCTATACTCGTTCGTTTTTATATCTGTTACACAAAGTTTCGTCATTTTCGTTCAACTTTCTCTCTTCACTTTTTTTTTTCTTTCTTTCTTTCTTTTTTTAGGGAAACATAACTATTCGAGTATAAGTTACAAGTATACATCTAATCTTTTGTTTTGAGAAAAAAAAACTTTCTTCTTTCACTTTACCCTGCAGCATATACAACATATGACATAACGGAGCATTTAAATTTATATATGTGTGTGTGTGTGTTGTTAAAAAAGGCAAATTCAAAAATTTACGAAAAAGTTACGAGTATCGGTACATCACCTACCTGTGATATACACACCTGCACGTACAATATTATTGCATCAGTGAAAAAAAAAAAAATGTTTAAATAGCTTGTCCAGAGCCAGAAACAGACCGAGCGTCAGCATTACGTCCTTGTAACTAATACAAACGATTCCTTGACGCGACTGACTCGCATCGTTGCACTTTACATATTATATATACATGTATACACCTATGCTCATACATACAATATGTCCAAACGATCGCGTAAAATACATAATCCGCCTGACTTTCTTTATACGTTGTACTACGCATGTGTATCATGAGTATTCGTATATCGTCGTGACGTGTCTGTAAAGTTAAGTACCTCTAAAGTTACGAAAAACTAAAAAAAAAAAAAAAAAAAAAAATAATAATACGTACTAAAACTAGGTGAGATTGACATCTAACGTGAACAATCAAAAAAAAAAAAAAAAAAAATAGATTAGGCTTGCTGTCGCGCGCGCCACTTGACTTGTGCGTTAACATAGCGAGACCCATAAATTAATAGTGGTATATACTTATGCATATGTTTTGTGTACGCACGTGGTTGTATGTAGACTCACGTATAGGCAACGAGTGGCCCACAGTCCAACAGTTCAATGTAACTCGATTAGCCGCGATCTCGATTCTTAATTACAATTGTATCATCCGCGTGCGATTGGCGTTCCCCGAATCGACTGTTGTTTCATTGAGTGTTCCTTTTTCTATACGTTTACGTTACCTTGGGGGTACACCTACATACTATACACTGGCTTTACTCGATTTCGTTTGATTTTTCATTTTGGATTTCCATCGTTCAAAGTATACCCAAGAGTACATTTTTATCCAGAACTTTTTTTATGCTTCGTTTTGTGCAGGTACTTATAGTTATAATATATGCTCGTCATGTGATATACAACATGTAGTTTAGAGCATTGCAAGAGACAAATTAATTTTACTACCAACAAGTCCCAGTGAAAACTACTCGACTTTTTCCCCGTTCGTGGGCACAATTCGGTTTATCTCCATGCATGCATGCATAAGTATCAACATTTAACACTATAAATATAGTAAATGAAAATTCCTTTTTTTCTCTACCTATCGCACGCACAAACCAATAGTTACATTTACTCATTGGAGTTACTACATATATAATATATCGATTGACTTAATAATTACTACTCTCTTCCGAGCGAGATAAATAATATGCATTATCGTATATCTTGGTAGATTCAAAAAATGCCTATTCTGCCTATCGAAGTTTAATTCCGTATGGATAACTTCGTATCTTATAAAAAAAAAATTACCGATAGTTTGATACGTGTATAACTTTCGTTAAACGATCGAGGCGTACTTTCCTTGAGAAAAAAAATTTTCAATGGTCTGATCGATGTTATAAAGCATTTGTTGTTATCCACAGTCATCGTTTTGTATTATTTTACAATTAAAGTACACTTACTCATTGGGCATTGAAGAAATAATTAAGTTATCATGTTCTATATCTAGGAATGATTATTTTATGATTTCGTCGTACAAACTAGCCGATGAGTCACCGCTATATAAAGTATAGGTATCCCACACCCGCATACACTGACATTTGCAAATTACATTTAATCGGAATATTAAAAAAAAAAATACGAGTTTGATTTATTAACGGACAATACCTGCGTGTAAAAAAAAAATGATTTACCAGCCAACAAAACGTGGAAACGTTTACGTTAATTTTAAAAAAGGCCATCATTGAAATTTTACCGAGCCGTGAAAAATTTTTCTTCACTTTCGATTTAATATACTCATAGTTGAATCCAATACTCATTGAATAATTGTTTTGCTCACGGGATAAAGAACAATTTATTAGAAGAACTTTCATTTTTTGCTACTCGATACAACTTTTTTTCCAAACTCTCCATGAGAAACAGCGATTTTCCGAGTTAGCTCCTTCCTTTCTTACAACTTGTAATTGATAGCTCTTTTTTCCCATGCAATCAACAATAGCCCAATAACCATCCAATATTAATATCAGAGCAGCGAGTGCTTGCCTCTCATGAGTCATTCCATTAAAAGTCTTTTATACGTGTATACAATAATTCAAGTACATAAGTATAGATTGTACAAACAAGGGTGTGCGAATGCAAACTTGGTTTACTATACATCCGCGTCCGGATTCTGGGGTATTATGTTGCGTTGTGTATGTGTACGTTGTATGATAAAATGATAGCAACGTAAAATAGTATGGGTGAACAGTTCAAAGTACCGCAGGAATGTTACCGTATACTTAAGAAGGAATTTTTTTTTTTTAAATCCAAACAGTTTAAAATCGTATACAAGTACCTATACGGTGACTCAAATAAATGTTTCATTGGCTTGTTGACAAATTTTAGCACGTTGACAACCATTTTACGAGGCACACTTAATTTTTTGTTTGCTCGGCCCTCCGCAAGTGATGTTTTTCCTACCGTACCAGCGTTGAAGTTTTATCAAGCGAATCAGTGAATGTTGTACTTGTTGGACGAAATATAATTTTTTTGCTTGGCCGAGTTTTTTGTTGTTAACTTTTTTAACGCTCAAGTGAGTTGTTGTTATTTAGCAATTTTTAAGAAATTAAAAAAAAAAAAAAAAAAAAAATTAACGTACCAGTAAACAGTGTACCCATCTGTACAAAGTGTGTATAGATACCACAGCATGATGCACAACAGCGCAGTGCAGTATATATAATTATGGGTCTACTCCGCCCCCTCACTTCCCTTTCCAACTTCAAGTTAATACCATATACCGATACAACAAAACTTTTACCTGCAGTTCCGCATCCGAAAAAAAAAACGCAGGATATGTCGCCTTTTCTTTCCGCTTCGTATACATAAACTCGTTGCATGTAATCGTGAATCGTGATATCGTCTCTGAAACTCAAACCTCCACTGCACACAACGTTTGTTTCTCAAATTTCCATGTCTTATCTGTCCACCACATATGTTAGCGGGTCATATACAGTGTAAACACTGGGCAGACATTTTTTTTTTTTCTTTCTTCCTTTGGTTTCTTTTTTTGGACTGTCGCAAGCGCACTACGTTGTCCCATACTATCAACTATGTAAAATATAAATATCCCATTCTGCCGAAACTTGCAATATTGTCGGCACAGTCTTATGCGCAATGATCAAGTACATAAAAAACGGGCGATTCCTTTCACGGTTTTTTTTTTTTTTTTTTTTTTTTTTTTAAATCAATTTTTCTCAAATATAATACTCGTACAGAAAAATCATAAATCGCAATTATTATTTCCAATAATATTGCGGCAATTAGAGATTTCAACATTTTTCACCAATTTTTTGCTAGCTCAATGAATTTCAATATAAATTTAATACAATTATTCAAAGAGGTATATAGTATCCCCTCATGTTTATCGTGTCAACAGACAACTTAAATCTCCCGTACGTATATTTTTGTCAACAATGACGCAGGCGAACTTATGGCTCTCGAAAACTACTAATATTTTGAAGATGATTGTACGTTAGATTAATCACGGTGACTGCACCAATCCAACAAAAAAAATTGTCCTCAACTGTGATCCACGAAAATTGTTTAGTAAAAATTTTGTAAATAAAAAAAACCAAACAAAACAAAACGTAGATACTGTTAAAAACTGGGCATTGTCCTAAAGTTTCTCTCCATAACGCCGTGGTTCTAAATGAAAAAGTGTCAAAAAAATTGGAAGTTTTTTAATCTCAACATTGCAAGTTTCTACGGAATGACCCATGTGTTGGAAGACAATGTGTACATCATAGTTACCATACGCTGCGTGGCGTGGCGTGGCTGATGCCTTTGCAACGCATCACGGTGTTGCACTGGTTGCACATGCATCATCAACGGCAGACACGCACGTCGGGAAAGAAAAGGTTAAAACGCTGATGTGTCTCTCGAGAAGTCTCGGAAACTCTGAACATCTCTCGCGCGCCGGGGCCGCGTTCCAATTTTCTAGTGTACACACAGCATGCAGCTCGATTGGCTTTAATTGACGGCGCCTACAGTTGCTTGTTTTTTTTTTTTTTCTTTACGACGTGGTGTGGTACTTATATTGTGCGTAACAGTTCATAGGTGTATACACACAGAATCGTGTCATTACATTCACCACCTACTAGTGTGTACAGCCAGGAGCCAGCTCCGAGAGTTCCATGTACCATTAAGTTGCCTTATTGCTTCGTTTCGTCAAATCTTTCAATTGTTGCCGTTTAAGGTTCGACTCTTTTGTTCGTTGTGATGTTTTCGTTGTTCTTTGACATCGTAGGAAAAAAAACTGCTGATGGGATGGCACGAAACGTAACATACTCGCACACTCAAAGTGAAAGTGCACTTGGCACCTGTTTTTACAAACGACTGTCATATGCTACCTACTAAAACTTCGTCTGCTCCCCTCCTTATTCTTGACTAGTGTAATTGCATGGTGACTCGTCTAAAATACAATTCTTTTTTTTTTCAGTGTTCAAGTTTTTGTAAAAAGAGCTGCGCTCGAGTTGATTCGAAATGTTCAGCTGGCTGAGCAGAGAGGGTCCTGGCAAACATGAGGTGTACGAAAACGTCACCGAGGGTCTCAAAAACATTTATAAATCCAAGCTACTGCCACTGGAGCAATACTACCACTTCCATGAATTTCACTCGCCCCAGCTGGAGGATCCTGACTTTGACGCCAAACCCATGATACTGCTAGTTGGGCAGTACTCAACGGGTAAAACGACATTTATCAAGTATCTGCTGGAAAGAGACTTTCCTGGCATAAGGATAGGGCCTGAGCCAACCACGGACAGATTTATTGCCGTTATGTACGATGAGAAGGAAGGCGTTATTCCTGGCAATGCCCTCATCGTTGATCCACAAAAGCAGTTCAAGCCACTCACAAAGTTTGGAAATGCGTTTCTCAATCGTTTTCAGTGCTCCACGCTCAAATCGGAAGTATTGAAGGGTATTTCTATAATCGACACTCCAGGAATTCTCTCTGGTGAGAAGCAGAGGGTATGTGTGTGCATGTGTTTTAACAATCATGAACAAATGTCGTCACCATTTATGTCGTTCCTAAAATCGGCCGTGGTTTCTTCGTTTCACAGGTAGATAGAGGATACGATTTTACCGGGGTATTGGAATGGTTTGCAGAACGTGTTGACAGAATTATTCTTCTGTTTGATGCACATAAATTAGACATATCGGACGAATTTCGACGTTCGATAGAGGCACTGCGTGGTCACGACGACAAGATAAGAATTGTTCTCAATAAAGCAGACATGGTGGATCATCAACAGCTCATGAGAGTTTATGGTGCTCTTATGTGGTCTCTTGGCAAAGTTTTACAGACACCCGAAGTGGCACGTGTATATATTGGTTCTTTTTGGGATCAACCTTTAAGATTCGATGGAAACAGGAGGTTTGTATAATTCATATACAGCATCAATTTATCCAATCATTTCAAGCAATGCAGACTCAAAGTTCTGTCACTAATGTAATTCAAGTAGATTTATCGTTAATAAGTTTTTTTGTCATAGTAAAAAGGAGATAATTTGCTTTCAGACTATTTGAAGACGAAGAACAAGATTTGTTCAGAGACATGCGATCGCTGCCTAGAAATGCTGCGCTTAGAAAACTTAATGATTTAATTAAACGAGCTCGTTTAGCCAAGGTAAGCCAAACATGAGTCACGTTGATTTTTTACAATTTATTGTTACATGTAATTAATTAATCAACATCTATCGTTTTTGCAGGTACATGCACACATTATCAGTGCGCTGCGGAAAGATATGCCCACCATGTTCGGCAAAGATAGTAGAAAAAAAGAACTGATTAAAAACTTGGGTCAAATTTACGATCAAATTCAGCGCGAGCAACAAATTTCGCCTGGTGATTTTCCGGATCTCAAAAAAATGCAGGAAAATCTAGCCCATCACGACTTTATGAAATTTAATCAAATCCGACCTAAATTGTTGGAAGTTGTAGACAAGATGCTCTCGGAAGATATCTCAAAACTTATGAATATGATTCCTCACGAAGATATGACTACTACATCGGAGCCACTCATCAAAGGTATGGTAGCAATTGCAACGGCTTTAGATATTGTCAAACTAGTAAGAATCAGTTTAAAAAATTTTTAAATACTTATAGGAGGTGCATTTGAGGGAGTTGAAGATCAAGAAAGTCCATTTGGTTACAAAAAGGGAGAAGGAATTGACGCTGGTTCTAATGAGCCTGAATGGATTGTCATGAAACTTAAACATAAGTACGACACTTTGTTTGAATCGCTTGGTCCATCTGATGGAAAAATTACCGGTGCAGGTAGATATTTTTGATTGATCAACGACTTGTAACCATACTATTAAAATCCATACATATTTTATAAAAATTAATTTACGTTTGATATTTTACAGCTGCTAAAACCGAAATGATTAAATCTAAATTACCAAACACTATACTTGGGAAAATCTGGAAATTGGCAGATGTCGATAGAGATGGATTCCTCGATTCAGATGAATTTGCATTGGCCATGCATTTAATTAAAGTCAAAACGGACGGCTATGAGTTGCCTACGGAATTACCAAGTCATTTAGTACCACCGTCTAAACGCGACATATAGATAAAATTTATCAAAATTTTTGTATTTAAATTGCATATTTGCATACGAGCAATCATTGCTCCTTTTTAAAAACTATTCTTATTTTGAAAGGACGAAGTAAAAGAGAATTTGAGTAATTTTCTGTTCTGAATCAAATAAATGTGCTTGTTGACCAAACGAGAGGAGAAAATGATATTCTTAGATACGTAATGGTTAATAAAAAGAGGTGTATATTTTCAAATCTACATGTGATTGTAAATGCGACTGATTAATGTGATTCGAATAAAAGTTTCACATAATTAATAACAAAGGATCATACATTCGATATTTACGAAAAGAAAAAAGGAATATTTTACGTAAACAATATTGAGTGTTACATTTTATAAAAAATAGAGTTCTAAAGTTAACTAAAATTTGTAAGGATCAATTTTGTAAAAATCATTCGTATATTTTTTCTGTATTATCAAGTAGTAACACAAAAAACTTTGATAGTATACAGTTACTTGATTTTACGTGTGGACTTATTGGATTAGATTTAAGACAACAGATTTAAGGTTTTTAACACTTTTTGCAATGTACATGTACAATACACGCACAAAAATATATGTGCACTCGAGTACACAGAAGAGTAAAATTTATACAATGATATTACAAGATGAATTTATTTAAAATGAAAAAAATATTTTTAAATTATTTATTAAAATAAATTGACATAAAAAAATCGATATGCATTTTTTTTTTAAATCTCTCCACACTAAAATCAAACTTGATTTTTATTTACATGATTTTAAAAATATATTTTTTACTTTTTTTATACAGTTGCATGCGAACCTTACAATATATATTTTTATGTTAAACTATTTTTACATGTTATCTTAAAGGTAACGAGTTAAATCGTGAAGAGAAAAACTGACCATTTAAAATTAAATTTCATTGGTGTGGGTTATGCATTAAGTAGGGCGTTTAACACACGAGCTCGATATAAATAAAACTATCAAACCAATTGTAGTGTGATTATAATAAATTTGGTATTTCGACAGTCAGTCTGGTCAGCTGTAGGTAGCATTTAAATTTAAATTTTTCAGATACTGCTGATTATCAAGTAAGTACTTGTTGTATTAAGTCAATTTAGATATACCGGAGCAAAAATATATTTATTTATCACTTACTTGCGAAAAAAAATTACATGGTACCTTTGTTACTTTTTTTTTTTATTTATTGACATCGTAAATTCAGTAAGTATTTTTGAACTCACTCTGTTGGCGCTTTACTTTATACCCACTTTAACCTGACCTAAAAAATTTTCGGTTTCTGACAGAGACGAGAAAACCTGATATAAATGAAAAAAAAGAAGTGAAATTTTTTTAATTATAAATTTTTCTTTTTTAGTTTAGTATTATTTTTTTATTCACAGTTTCAAAAGAAGTCTGAAGAAAGTGTTCAAGTACAAGAAAACGGGATCAGTAGTTATACTTTAGCATTGGTAAAATAAGTGTAAAACAATAACAAATATTGCTTAGTAACCATTAGGGGACAGCAAGAGAAGTTATAAGCTAAACTACGTACCTACTTGTCGAATAAAATAAAAGTACAATACCACAATGTCTTCAGCAGTTATGCTCTCTTTATTATACCAAGTACTTTTGTACTTGAATATGTTCTACTTTGGAATGTTTTCAACTTGTGAATTCTGCATGAAATGTGTAAAGGCTTACAATTTCCCATCAAGTTTTGGTACAGTTTCAATGGAATTTGCACTATTGCTATTTCTAATTACCACAGAAGGAATTAGAATTTATCTAGGCAGAAAAGGAAATTTGTTGGACCATGGTTTGCCTTTTTTATTGGGCCTAGCTCTCAATGTGCCTAGTAGCCTAGCTACTCTTTATTTTCTATTTTGGCAAGACAGAACCTTAAGGTTGGAGCAGATATTGTGTGGTATACAAATGGTCTTGCTAATATCAGAACTCATAGTCGCAATAATGTTCCTTGTGGCGGTTTTTAGACGTCCTGCACCAGAAGGCTAAATATTTTTGGAGACATGTCACCTTTTATACCAAAGATTTTATATACACACATATACCAAAGATTTTAACGCACAAAAGTTCATTGTGGCATATTCATTATTTATTATCAAAAGCATGTTTGTCATTATGATCAAATGTATATCATAATCATTGTTATAATTATTATTTAAAAATTGAATCTTTTACTTGATTATTTACTTAGTTATAATGAAATGAAATTTGTTCTGTTCCTATTTCGTGCTTAAAATATCAAGTGTGAGATTTTTTTTCCCTAAGTTATGTATTTACAACATGTACAGTAGAAAATAAATATCTTTCTGAAAATATGATTAGTTACGATTTGTTTTTTATGCTAATAGCCTCAGCACGTCGTTTCTTAATAGAGCGCAATCTATTATTGCAATATATACGTAGGAACACTGCCAAAAATACTAAAAATATTCCAAGTATACCTAGTGGTGTAATGTAGTGATGATACAGCAAACACGATAAAAGGATCGCAAACCCCTACGAGTATTGTTGATATAGTCATCTTATTTTTTTTAAATAAGAACATGATAAAAAAATTCAATACGAAAGTTATCTTACCTGGCGTACCGTCATCATTATGATGAATGTAACAGCTCCAAAATTCGAAATTGTATAAAATATGTACAATTGTCCCGTTGTAGAGAATACAGAAATTAAAATACAATCCAATATAAAGTGAGGGTACTGGAAAAAAAAAATGTTGTTAGTTTATTTTATTTAAGGTTTAAAAAAAGGATGGTTTAATTACTTTTACCGTTGTTATGAAGGCTAAAGAATACCATAAGCTAGACTGTTGAAACAATGAAGTTGCTGTCAGCAAACAAGAAAATAAATTAACAGCGCACATCATTTGCAAACTAGTAACACCGTAATCATTGAACAAGGCATTTTGCCAATTGCTCGTAAAGCTGTCCAATGTCATGTAAGCACCCAAAAGTATCACTCCAGAAAATGTGGTGGCACCATCTGAAGATTTAATTAAAAATTATCCTATCATGCATCCACTGGAAAGTGTTTGGCAATATAGTTTTTAAGTTATGTCAAATAACAAGCATTGTACCATTTTTATGATCAGTGCTACCCAACATAAACATCATCATTCCAATGGAAATCAGCACAGCTGTTACGTATTCGTAGTATTCATACTTTGCACGAGATACAATTTTTCCCATGATCATGACAGGAATAATTTTTGAAGCCTTAGCTAACACCTGAGTTGGAAAACTTACGTACTTGAGAGCTTCATATTGGCACCAACTACTCAAGACATTAGAGAACGAACAAAATGCGTATTTGTACAGCGGAATTGTGTGAGGCGGTTGTCTGATGATTAATAAACAGACTGCAGATATGAAAACTGCAAGCACTCTATTTATAAAGACTAGAAATTGAGAGTCTTTAAAATGACTTGTGTTACCACTTCCATCATCATATTTCTGAAATAAAGATAATTGAACAAATGATTTTGCAATTCATTCGATCCATTGGAGAATATCAGCAAAAACAAATTGACTGCTGTGATAAAGTTACCTGAGTCATGATTTTTTCCTGCAAGTAGCCCCATGTCAAATAACTAACTTGTAGTCCCAAAAAGCAATGAATCAGTAATAATGAATCTTGAAGAAAAGTTCGCTGCGAGTGACTATTAGTTGGTGTGGGTGAATAGTGTGAAGAATCAAGCAATCCTTGATCTCCACTTCCCACAAAACAAGAATGGACTAGTCTGGGCAGGCATCCTTTGCCTATTTAAAAGAAAATAATTCACGATCATAAATGATTGTTAGTAAACAAGGTATTTTTCTGTCATGAAACAAAAATTTAATTGCGACTAATGAACCTTGAACAATACTCACCTCTCCTTTGGAAGTATTTACTTCTTCTAACATACTTGAAAATGAGGTATCCTGGTAACAACACAGTGGCATAGCCACAAAAATTGAAACAAAATCTAATGATCCAACTGTAATAAGTTTGTGAACTAATTATATTTTCTCCACTTCCAATGAAAGATTTGATTATATGCGTTGTACTGTATATGATGCATAGTGAAAACAAAACTATGAGGCTGTGAAAGAAAATAAAGACCAAGTCACATAAGAGTGATTATTTTTATTTTTATATGTAAATTAATACGTGAACAATTATCGGTATGTTTTTACCAAATTATAAAATCACCCGCATAATTGCCCATAGTTGAGGTTAGCCTACGGAACTAGCTGTGTCTAGGCTCTGGAAATCTTTAACAGCTATTGATTAATGAATAAAAGAATAACTCTTTTATTGAGCATTTTATTGAACAAATCATAGAACTGAATTATGTTGTGCCATCACAGGGCCAAAGACACACCGTGAGTGGGCCTCGAATTGTTGATATTTCTCGGAGAGTTTGACTGTTGTGCGCGCGAATCACGCGAATCCTGAATAGGTAAAGTAGGTGCGGTAGCTGACATAAAAACTAAGTATACTGAATGTATAATACAAATTTTCTTGGAACACTTTAATTAACAACTACATGACCCACTTAATCTTTAATATTTACGTTTACGGATAAATCTTTATAAAAATATAATTATGTCCAATAATTATCGTGCGTGCAGCACAGTTAGACATATAGATTGGAATTTAAAATAATTTTTTTAAACGAGAAACGACAAAAATATTTTTTAATATGTTTATATTTACATAATCGATTGCTTTTATACACAATAAGTTTTTATTAAATATTTACACTCAAGAAACCCTTTTTTTTGACCGCACAATAATCATTTAATAGTTGGTAAACTACTTGTGCAGCTCAAGATTATTTTTCTTTTAAACGTTCTCTCATCCACAGATAACTTTTTGATAGGATACTGTTGCTTACATTTATAATGACTAAACAATAAAAGCACCCGGCTCATTGTAACCCACTGTCAATTAAAAATTAAAACTATTATATTAAAATTCCGTATGGTTTTTAAGGCACCACACACTACATACTTTATACAAGTTTCTTGATTTTTTAACATTACATATAATAGCAATAAATATTTCGTTTTTCTAACAAAAAATATGCTATATAGTAATATTTACATATTCTACAAATGTGTTTGAGTCAAAATATAGATATATATTAAAATATTAAAAAAAATTTCTCATTCAAACTATCAACTGTTTCACATTACTAATAATGCATACGCTTTCCGTCCTCCATTTCTGCAAAACGTATTCGAGTTTGCTTTCAGCTCTAGCAGAGATTTCCAATCTGGATGATAAATTGTAAGTTCCTGAAGTAGGAAGAATAGCTTGAAGCTCAATCTCCCGTTGCCCATACGCTTCTAATTGACACTTAAATGTAGTTTGACCAGCATAACGGAATGATGTTGAAGCTTGTGGAGAGTAGAGTTGGGTTTTGATGTTTGGTAAAATATTTTGACTAGAACGAAAAAAAGTTTTCGATAATATAGTATATCAGTACACATAAAAAACTCATGGAAAATTAAACAAATGTGCCAACCTGCTCGTTCCGATTGTATCAACTTTTACATGGACGAGGGATTGAGAGTTATTCTGCATGCGCATTGTGACTCGCAGAACACATATCCGACTGCGCGAGAAATCGTGAGACACTTCTTTCGAGTGTTTCAACTGGTACCATATCAAATTCTTTTGATACTCTAACTCCGAGTAGCAATTTTTCCTCGAAAGTGTCTGCAAATCCGGAATAACGACGTCCGGTCCGAAAATCTTTAGACGCCCGGAATATTCGATCGGTTCTATCTGCTTCTCGGTCGGATGGTTGTAAGCTTTATTCAAGTATTGCAGATCTATGTAATTCTGGCCGATTGCGTTGCGCACGACCGTTCCACCCTCGGTAACTTTGGCTCGCCACCTGAGTACTATCGTCGAGTCCAATTTCAAAGCCGAAAAGGTAGGATCGTTTTTCACTTTCGATCGAGACTGCTGACTGTCGTTTTGGGCATCGTTGTCATCCAATGGTCTGATATGCCGTTTCTTAATGAAATTTGCATAAGGTATATCATTGGCGGTTTTAGAATCGTTGGTTTTTGACAGAGGAATCTCGGACAAGTTCACGCCATCGCTTGCTTTTCGGCAAAGTTTCAGTAAAAAGTGTATCATCTCCTGGGGCTGTACTTTCACGTCTGTCCAAACGTCTGTTGATTTCGACAATATCCAGGTATCACTTTGGAAAACCATGTTTGTTAGTTCAATTTCATTCATAAACGGATCGTGCACTTGATTGGAATTTTTTATATCGATGATCAAATTTATCAAGGAAAAATTATCATTGTTTGTGGCACTTCTGCGAGCAATAGCACTCGACTGGATAGAATCTAAAACCGTTAAATGCCAACTGTGACGGCTCAGTCTGTACTTTGGTATGCACGTCTGTTGCAAATTTTCATAATAAAATAATAAATCTAGTCTGTGGTTTCCCTTTTCGTGGGGCGCACAAACCCAAAGCGTCATTTTAAAGGAATCGCCAACAAGCAGAACGTCATTTTTTTCGGCAGGCAAATTAATTTTGGTAACAAGCTCATCCATTCTTTTAGTTTCTCCTGCAAACAAAATCATACGTTTGTATGAAATTACAGGTTTTTAAATCAAAATAATAACAAACCGCGGAAGTACCTTTTTTGAACTCTTGCTCTTCAATAGAAAGTGTAAATAATTTTGGGTTGGTAGATCCTACATAAATATTTTTCAATGGAGCATTTCCGACATTTTTGATCGTTACATCCATACATTGAAGCTCACCGCACAACATTTCGGGTGAAAGGCTTGAAAACGTAATCTAGAATGGGAACATAGTATCCAAGAAAAGGAAGGATTATCAACGAAATTTTTTTTAAAGTCACGTGTGTTTATGCTTCAATCCAAATTTGTTCATTTTCGTACCTGCATGAAAGGTGCTTCATCGACGATATTGATGTCAAGTCGTTGATCTACTCCATACAATGACACGCCAGACTTTTCTTTGACATTTTTCAACTTCTGTCCTTGGATTTCGAACAAACGTTTCCCGCAAACAAAAGATGATGGACTCGAGTTTACTTGATCAACTTGCGCTTGAACTGGATTCAATAAATTATAACAAATCCCCAAAATCTTCATCTGCCCAATTTTCAAGGGTCTTACTGACAGAACAATCGTTTGTTTTGACGCAGGTTGAAGAATGACTGAATCGATTTTTAAAGTGTTGGCAAGATTTTCTTCAGATTCAGGAGAATTTTCGTTATTAACAATAGTGCCATTGTCATCAAAAGACCAAAGTAATTTCAAGTTTGAAAGAGGCAAAGGGATCAACAGAGGATTGGATAACGTTATACACAAGTAGATTGGTTCCTTTATAACAGCATTTGGTTGGGCTGAATTGTTACTGGTGTTGGTGTAAATCGTGACCGTTGGTTTGAAAATCATTGGCATGGTTCCTTGAGCTTTGGAAAGTAGAATTTCTTCCAATTTCGACCATCGCACGTCATCCGCATCTTGACTGAACGATAATATTTGACTTACTAATTCAATATTATTGCCTGGTCTTAAAACAGGTCCCAATAATACTTTGATTTGATTATCTTCAACTAATGGCAAAGGCAAAAGTGGAAAGTTAGTTGGGGATGTCTTTGATTCTTGCACCAACAACTGTGAAATACATTTAAGTGTTAAATTATACGAAAAAAAGTTGCAATGATCGAATCATTTGAAAGATACACTCACGTCGTGTATGTACAAAAATTCTCGTAAAAAAGCTGCCTGTTGAAGAGCTGGCTGTTTACTGGAGGCATTTAACAGTTTTTCAAAAACAGTTATAGCATCTGTGAGTTGTTTCAAAGAAGCGGCCTGTCTGCCAATGGTAAAATGAATATGATCTTCAGCTAAGGACCAGCCCTTATTATTGTACACCTGAGAATAATCAACAGTATCCAAGTCAGGAAAAGTTTAACAAGTTATTTTCATCTTCTGTAAATATTTATCACTTACTTGATAAGCTTGCCTGTAGCAGCGTAAGGAATGTTTTTTCTGCCCAGCTTTAGAAAATCTGTGGCCAGCTAAAACGGCGTGAAAAGCATATTTTCTCACCATTTTTGGAGAGATAAAGCAGTACGCTGCTTGTTCAAGTAACAATGCCGATCGTAAATCAGAATCCTCGCTCGTCATTCGTATTAATTGTTTGGCCGCTTCTCCATACAGCCCTCGATTTTTCAGACACTCTGCACTAAGGAGTGTCGCCCTTGTAGCAAACTGAGGCATTTTACAAGTATTTAGGTAAGTTGTAATAGAATCATCCATGTACTCAATTGTTTTTCTAATCATTTCATCCATCATGAAAGCACTTAATGCAGCCATTTCTAGTGCACCTGCGTAATAAACCCATGCTTGATCTGCCGCAAAATCCCGTTTAGCATTGTGATATGCTTGATATGCGAGCGAATAATGACCAAACATGAAGCAGAGATCGCCTAGACGACGTAATTGCAGTTCGGGTGATTCTGTTGTGTATCTGAAATAATTACGCGTCAAAAATTGTTATAAGAGTTTACACAACCCACACATGTAATTACTTTTATGTATACAATATTAGTTATTTTATATGTTGGTTCGAATCAATATTAATTCTATTATTTGGTTTGCTTTAGACTGAGAAACTTTTCGAATAAAGAGTGTCAACTTACATTACAGCATTAGCAGGAACTGATCCAGGAATTCCAGGTTTAGTGGTTCCAAACCACCTTTTTGTAGCACTAAAAAGAGACCTACTAACACCTTTTTTATTTGAAATGAGATCATTGAGTAGAGCAATTTGCCTCTCAACGTAAGGGAGTAGACTCTTCAAACAAAATTCAGATATCATAGTCTTGAGTCTCTCAAGATCTTCAGTAGAAAGTCTAGCACCATGTTGAGGACTAACATGGACAGGTGAATCTGCCCAAACATTAACATTCATGGGTGAATTACTATCTAAAAGAGACTTTGAGTTATTAACACTACTGAATTTTAAAGGCAGTTCGTTTTCTGGACTCAATGGATGAACTGTCATCGTTACGTTTGAGACAATGACATCCTGACCAACTTCCAGTTGTAACTGTGAATCGGAAATTCCTGAAGATATACTTATATTTTCACTTTTATCTGGAGTGGGCAGTCCAAAATTTCGTGGAGCTACTGGTGTCCCAGCTTGACTAGTTGACCTATTCAATTTTTTTTTTTTTTTTTAGACATAAAAAACTAATTAATAAANCACACAGTACACGGACTTGTGTTGAAGTAATACTCAAGCGCTTATAGTGCTTGTAGTACAAATTTTGTCTTTAGTTATTCACGTAGGATTGTACCACTTGAGACATTATATTAATTCGTGGTATAATAAACACAGAACCTTTCGTGTACCTATCGAGGTGCTGTGTTCCTATAGGTATCAAGCACATATCGCGAATATTGCCTTCTACTGTGCCTGACCAATATCTCTCGTTTTTCCCTCGGTGGCGCTGCTCCAAAATTGTGCACGTAGCGAATACAAAAACGGTCAAGTTTTATTTGGATTTTCTGTTCAGCTTACTTTTTGTATGACACTCGTAGTATTATTATGTCTAGTACTTGGACTTAAACAAAATCAAACTAAGTAATATTGACTTTTGACTGGTAATTGTATACAAATCTTAAATTAAATTCACTAAAATAATGTCCTAACATTTTAACACACTTATTTGTATTGCGTACTTAGTAGTCAAATGTTGTACTACTTCATTTTAAAAACACACCTATCCATACCATACCAGAAAAATTAGGGTTGCAACGAATTTAACGGATAAGACCACTTTTTATCAAAGCTAAGCCTGAAAAAATCTTGAATTGAGCATTTTACGTGCAAATAATTAATAAATTAATATACAAAAAATAGTGATACTAACTTTTCTTGTTCAATGTTGACTGCATTTGGCATGGAAGACACACCTGAAGTATCGGCAGGCGTGCGAGGAGAGCTATCTTGATCACTATTGACTAATAAATCGGAATGCTTAACTAAGAACTGACTCCATGGATCTGGAAGATGAGTATTGTCATCAGAGCTGGTAAATTGTCTTGAATTTAGTGGTAAGAAAAAACAATTGTTTGGTCCATAAATATTTTTCATATCAGTAAAAACATCTTCAGCTCTGAAAAAGAAACAGTTGGAGTCAAATTTACTAAGTAAAAAAATAATGAAAATAAATTGGCTTTTTTTCAAAACTTACTTTTTTCTATCATCTTGAAGAGCATCATGAATCAAAATATAATATCTAAGAGCATTATTATTGAACCACTTTGGTAATTTTCCAGGAACACTGAGGCTCAACTGAGTAGCCATTTGTTGAATTTTTTCAAGCGGATTGTCATCCGATGTGGAGACCACAATCATGCACGCCAAAAAATGTTTTGTAAATTCATGATCAGCTGGAAACTGCACATTGAGAAAAGTATCCCTCCAAGCTTCGAACCAAGGTACCGACATTGGCACATTGAGATCTATGCTGCCAGTGCGGACTACTGTTGTGCGCTCATTGTAAGTCGAACTGGCAGATTCATTTAACAATTTTCTAGCTATGTTTGGCTCTGGAGGAGAAAAATTGACATCCTTGACCGAGATTTGTAAGGAGCGCACTGACACTACTGTTCCTTGAGGATCTTTAATGTGACCTAAAACGGAAGTTTAAAAGTTTGAATACGAACATAAGAACGAGTCATAAGAGACAGCAGTGAAGAAAAAATAAAGAAATGTGGTATAAAGTAACCTTCGGTATTGAGCTTGCAGAAAGGCTGGAGCAGCTCGATAAACGAGAGATTGTTCTTTTGACAAGTGGCTTCGGCGTGCAGAGAGCAGGTAGCCGCAACCTGGGGCGCAAAGGTGTTGATAATAAACTCTCTCGCAGTGAGCTTGCACTGGGCCATGTTTCTCGACTTTTAAATGCTCGTGATTGAAGCAAGCTCTCTCAAGAAGTGATTTGCCTTCTTGTCAATCAATTTGGCTTCATCATCAACAAGAGTAAGGTTCGTTCTGTATTAATCTTCTTGGCGAGGTATAAGGTCCTATCATTGTAACAGATAACGAGGTGCCAACGTTGCATCATGGACTTTTAAAAAAGGAGGTGCCCATCCATAGTCTACTGTAATTTGCTAGTCTCGATCGTGAAACTTCAACACATATCACATATCAGTTTTCATAACTAAGTAACTGACGCTGTAAGTATAAGTAAACAAGTACGCTTAATCACGTATCCACAGACTTAATTGAAAAAATACGGTCAATATAGAACTGAACTAACAATTTCAATACATGGGGTTAATTTCATTTTTTCTCCTTATGGATCCAGTTGATGTCTTGAGTTACCTCACTTCCTAATAATACGCTAAAATATTAAACTATTAAAACTTGCTTATCTTTAATTGTAACGAAATTTTTGCGGATATCTCGTATAAGTGTAGAAAATTTCAATAACTTTTGTTTATGTGTTTATATATATATTTGCTCCGAAAATAATAAAAATCTTAAATGCTTGTGAATCTGCCCCTTTTGTTTCGGACCTTAGGTGTATTCCGAAATCACTTCAAATGACTATAGAAATTTATCAAAACGATTGCGGAACGTGAAAAAAAACTTTCTATTTTACCGGCTGAATTCCGATTCGATTGCCAATAATGCCAATGCCACATAGCCACATTATCACCAGCTAAAAAAGTGTGTATATCTGTGTATAAGTTAAAAAACGCACTCACATGTTCAATTTCGTTGGTTAATATTTAGGAAAGCGTAAAAAAATAGTGTAAGTATAAACAATGTGCACCTGTATCTACATGGGCATAATGATCCAAGACTTTTATGAACAAAATTCAACAAATATTGTTTAATTGGTCATATTACACACACTATACATTATGCTAAATGTGTGTGTCGTTGAATTATTATTATTGAATCCATATCCTCCAATGGAAATGATGTCTAATAAAATGAGCCAATAGAAAAATAGCCTCTTATCTCCCGCTTATTTCAAAATCCTCCAATAATATTTTCTCATTGGACATTAGATGTCAGTAGATGTGCTCACGCTATACATTAAGTGGGAGTCAGCTCGATCCTTGCTCATTCAGCCACTGCCACTAGCCAGTCAGCGTCGTCAACGAGAGAGATACTCTCTCACTCATAAAGGTGTGCCTTCGGCCCCTTCATTTAGGCCATTTTGTTACTACTTTGTCTGCGTGGCTGCCCTTGCCTGCTTCACACAGCTGTAAGTACACCAAGTATACCTACTTCTTCCAGTCAGTCCCTGGTACTGCTGCAGCCATCGTCCTTCACGTATACCCAATACCCCATCATTCCTATATACATCATGGTAATAATACATATACATATACTGTTCTGATGTAGCATACCTATAAAAGTATAAAGATTAATATTTTGTGTTTCGTTCCGCAGAAAGTAAAGAAACTAACGTAAACCAGAGATTAGAGGGCCTCTACTTAAGTAGTCACTTTACGGCCTGTGGGTGCGGGCTGTGAATCAACGTACTTAACCGATTAATGGTCCATCAGCAGTTTATATTTTCAACCATTTCCAGCATTTACACTGGCATCCAGGAGGTAAAAACAGCTGGCAACTCCCTGCTGGTTGACAACTTTCTTAAAACATCCTACAAGTCTCGTTTTAAGGATTCCAAATGGGCGAAGTTATAGGTAAGAGCTTGAATTTACACGTATACATAACATGCGCTTGGTGTTTTTGAGAGCTTCGAATTTGGTGATAAAGTAAAGTAGGTGCAACTTTTAATGCACAAGTATCATTGGTACTCGGTGTGTGCTACCTGTTGCGCTTGTTGCGCCGACTCCGTGATAGTTCCTACCTACTTGTCATGTTGTGTGTACCTACTTATTTGTTTTGTTTCTTGTTTACAAAGCATGCATATATCCTACTTCTATCATTATCATCACCATCATCAGTTTTACTACAGTTGTTTACAATTACCAGATATCTCTTTTTTCCTTTTCAGAAGTTGTTAAAGTAGAAACCAATTACCTTCAGCAAGATGACGTCAATGCCACTGGTGCGTTTTAAACTTTTTGATAGTTCTGTTGTGTATTTGTTTGGATGGTTAATCAGTAAAATTATATTTGCAGATGAAATCTTTGTCAAAGAGAATGATCGTGAAAGTTTTATTATACCCGATATAATTAACTCGGACGAAGGTGAGTTTGATTAATCTCCTTTATAACATTTATTCAAAAATTATTTCTAAGCAGCAGTTTAATGAAAACTTGAATTTTTCGTAGTACTCGCCCAAAATGGACAGATCATACAAATTATTGAAGAGTATGAGTGTGTTACTTGCCACAGAGTTTTTCCAAGTGACGAGGTGAGATTAATTTTCATTAATTTAAAAATGCTTGCCCTGCAAATATGTAATTTTGTTTTATTCATTTGGATACTTCCTTTACAGTTATTGAAAGAACACTTGGAAGTATGTAGAGAAGAAGATGATGATGTTGATTTGTTAGAATTAGGTAGGATGGGAGATGATGATTCTGAAAACGAAGATGACGACAATATTGATCCAAATTATAATACAGATTCAAATCCTTCAGGTATACATCTAAAATTTTGAGCGCTGATTTTAGGAAAAATAAAATTACCTAACATTGATTTTTAGATTCTCAAACTTTCAAAAATAAGGAAAAAAAAGTAACAATAAAACCTGTACAAGAAGGCGAATGCCATTGTTGTGCCGAAGATGTGAAAACAGCTCATTCGGGAGGTCCTTTTAAATGCTCAAGTTGTGATATGTCATTTAAAAAATCATCTTCTTTGGAAAGGCATACTATAGTTATTCATTGGGAGCCTGACACATATACATGCAAAGACTGCAATTCAACTTTTTCGAGCAAAAAAACTCTGGATAAACATCGTTATACAACACATATAAAGACTAGCAAAGTATATAAGTGTGATAAATGTGATACTTATTTTTCAAGAAGTTATCACTTGAACCGTCACAAGCAGCAATCTGGCTGTCATGGGGACACCGGTAACAGTTTTTGTTGTCAGGTACAACCAGAGTCTAGAAAATATCTTTATTTATATTTTAATCATTAATCTAAAATATATGAGAAATATTTGTGAATTGTAGGTTTGTAATAAAATATTCACGCGCAAAGATAATTTGAGAGAACATTTAAGGACCCATGCAGGGATGCCTCAGAGGAAAAAAAAATCTTGCACTACGTGTTCAAAACAATTCTATACAAATCAGCAGCTGATTGTTCATGAACGTATGCACACAGGAGAAAGACCAGTGCAGTGTGATTTGTGTCCAAAATCTTTTTTATCTTCCCTAGCCATGAAAAAACACAGAAGAACTCATACTGGAGAAAAACCTTTTGAATGCAAATTTGTAAGTATATTAATATATTTTTCTATAACCATTGGAACAAAAAAAATATGCATACAATTATTTAATAATATTATTCCAAGCAAACAATCAGGATATAAGAATAGGATTTGTAAGTTTCAAAAAAATTTTAAACGTCAAATTTTTAATGTTTTGTTTCAACTGAATTTTCGTATTTATCGAGATGTTAGTTGTTGTTGTTGTTGTTATTAAACTTTCCAATATTTGTTTTTTGTATTTACCTGCTTTTTTATAACTATTTTAGTGAAACTTTTTTTCTTTATGAAATACATGCACATAAAAATCTTGATTTTTTTTTGTAACACAGTGCCAAAAAAAGTTTGCTGCAAGAGAAACACTAAATCGTCATCAAAGAACTCACACTGGAGAAAAACCACATGTTTGTCAATACTGCAATAAATCCTTCATCCAAGCAGCTCAGCTGAGAGCTCATGTTTTCCATCACACGGGTGAAAATGGATTTTATTGCGACATTTGTGGAAAAGCATTTAATCGAAAAGGGCGGTTAACCAATCATAAAAAATTCGTTCACGAAGGTGCTACACCATTTAAATGCGATGTTTGTGATAAGGCTTTTATGCGTAAAGAAGATTTATCCAAGCACTCTAATTTACATGCTGGAATAAAACGTAAGTTACAAATAGCAATCATTTTTACTTTTTTAGTTAGACTTTTTTTTCTCTACTATTCGTTGTTTTTAGCTCACAAGTGCGGAACTTGTGGCAAATGTTTTGCTGCTAAATCGTCTTTGCAAGCCCATATGAATACCCACAGACGTGAGCCTCCGCAATCTTGCGCTGAATGTGGACGGGCGTTTATTCGACAGGATTGTTTGATGAGACATATACGAGCTAAACATAGGGATTTGTTAGAGGATGTATTAGGCGAAGCAGAAAAGAAACATTTACAGTTACAAATGTTCAACATTGCTTACAATGCTGCTGAGAAAGCCAAATCTGGAGAAACAAATCTCATGTCAACAGATGAATTATTAAAAGCTATTACGGAATTATTGACTATTCTTATAGAAAAAGAAACATTAGAGGTATATACAGCGAGTAAACAATAAAAAAAAAAAATTATAAAAATAATTTTCACTATTAACGAAAGTTTTGTTTTGTATGTTACAGCTATTTGGTTGGCTACAGTCACCTTTACAAGATGTTTTAGAAGCTGTCATTCGAAGATGTGGTGACGAGCCACTTACAGCTGACAGTGATTTGTCGCTACCAGAAAGATTACGAGGGAATGTTAGAATTTTATTCAATGCTGTTCTAGAAGATGAAAATGTTAAATCATTATTGACAACTCAAACTGTTGATGAAGTTATTGCACATGTTCTTAACGTATCTAAAAATAACAAACCAGAAGAAATCAAGTTTAAAGAAAACGACGAATGATATGGAAAAACATAAATAAATTCACAAAACGATTGGTTGAAATATTATAAACAAACAGCTTTAGTATGTTATAAATGTTGGAGGCTAACCATTTGCAATCAATGCTTGTTCCCTACTTTTTGATTGATATTCCAACTTGTTAAAGATTCACGTACATCAAGCGTTGGTTGTCAATTCAGTTAGTAAATTACAAAAATTTATTTTAATAACATTTTACAGTGCCTTTTTAATAAAGTGATAATTATGTTTTCAACTTTATTCTAAAACTATAGAATATAATAAGTACACTTTAAAACGGAAATACTGCATATATTTTGAATATGCTAGTTTTGCTCTACATAAATGAATTTTAATAAACTAGAAAATCATACAAATATAATTCTGTTGAAATAAATGTAAGTATAAATTTTAACTATTTTTTAAGTGATTAAATTTATATGTAAAATAAGAGTTTTGGTGAGGATAATTTATTTTTCAATACACATTTCATGTGTCTCATTATAAACTTGATTTTAAAAATCGTACCTCTATTTCAAACAAGCTTACTTATCCTTCCCAATGGCCCAACCCTGCTTAATGACTTTGCAAAGGCCAGGTCCATTGTAAATGAGTACCATAAGTCCAGCAAGAGTAAGAGCAGATGTAAGATACAATGCTGCCATTAAAATCTTGGGTACAACAGGTCCAACGACTAAGGGTCTTGCATAATCTATAATTATTGCCTCCAAACCCCTTGAAAATACGACAAAAATTATTTATTGCGTTTTTTATAAGTAACTTAATTGTCCCAACATTTGTCATAGAATCAATTGATAATTACCAATGTACGTGTATCACAGAAGCAACGGCTAGTACACTGTCAAGAATAGGATTTTCAAGCATGAATGCAAGAGGAAGTAGTGGCAAAAATAAAGCTGAAACCACCCTCTCAAGTTTCCACAAATTAACGTGATCACCATGTGTGCTTTGATTTCTTAATTGTACCAAGCTGCTGCCAATGACTCCTCTCAACTAGTAAAACGTATACATACGTCATTTACAAAACCTAAGATTAACAGGGGAACTTATCAAACCTGTGGTGAACGTGGGACAAGACAATTTTTTGAAACAACTGGCTTTGGTAAACTATTTAACTGATTCCAACATCTTGATGAGACAGATCCGGTGGCATAGCATCTTAGGGCATTGACATTAACTGGCTTTGTTAGTGTTCCTACAAAAATCTCAAGAAGCTATTGTTAATTAATTCTTTTATGGAAATAAACAATTATGTAATTGATTTAAAACAACCTAAAAATGAAAGACACTCACTTGACAATCCTGTCAAATTTTTAAGAACCGCAAGATTAGCGATTTTAGCTAACATGTTGGTAGATAACTTTGGACGAAATTACCAAGTATTTTTATTGAAAGTCAATTTATCCTGAGACTTTATCAATTTGTTTTCATTTATTTTTTACCTGTCAATAACTGAACGAATAGATGCGACTCGAATCTATAGGGAAAACTTGTTTCAAAATTCGCGTAAGTTGGCAAAAGTGTAAAGCCGCCTGCAGTTTGAAAACTTTGTATATGTAATTTGTAAAACGATTTAAAGATATATCTACTAAGTAGTAGAAGTAGAAGTTAAGTACATTCATTCGCAAACATTTATGTTGCGTAATGCATACTACAGTAAAAATAAATAAGGCAATAAAAATTGGGAGAATATACGAATTTGAATCCTTTATTGGTTCGACTCTGTTTTATCGACCACCGCTGCTTACAACTAAGTGTTGCCACCACATAAAAATTAATACCGATTCGGCTCTATAACTCTATAGCGGCGTGCGCGTGTGTGTACACTGCGTGTGTTTACACTGTTTACACAGGAGAGCGAGCTGGAGTAGGGATAGAAATATCATCAAGAAATGAACAGAACAGAGGTTAACTTTTGACTCCTGTGACCTGTCATTGTCAATAAAGCAAGTATTTTTAATTCAAGCTCTGTCTGGGTTTGTACTGCAACGAAAATAGAATGAAAGTTTCGAGAGAGCAAAGTCAAGAAAGCTGAACCATATATATTTTTGCATGAAAATTTTTGAAGATTTTTAGGTATTTCTTTAGTTTTCTATACTTAATAACAAGCTTCTTTATACATATTTCCAATCTATTTATTTCGTTTTTTTTCTTAGAATGCCTTTCAAGTTCCACTTGAAGAAAAGCCGTCAGTACAATGTAGTTTCAAAAAATCAGTACGTGATATGCGTCGAATTGTTAGATTCGACTTCCATAGAATGTACTCTGAGCATTGATAGTCTTGGTCAAGAATGTTTGACGAATATTACGCAGAGACTTGGCCTGGGCCAGCCAGAGTTCTTTGGCCTGTGTTACGTTTGCCGCCACGGGACACCATCTCCAAGATGGGTGGATATGGATAAGCCTTTGAAAAAGCAATTGGAAAAAGATGCCAAAAGTTTCAATTTGTACCTCAGAGTGATGTTTTACATCGGTGATGTGCAGTTTATTCAGGACGAGATGACAAGGTAAAATTTTAAATGTCACAGTATTTATTTCACTGTCATTTGGAGTACAATTATTTTTTAGCTCCCAGAGATTATTATGCTTATTTTGTTTTTATTAGGTACCACTATTACCTTCAATTGAAAAGTGATATCTTAGAGGATAGGATACATTGTAACGTCAGGCAAGCCACTGTTCTGGCAAGTTACTCCATGCAAGCAGAATTCGGTAATTATGATGCTGAAAGACATAGAGCCGAATTTCTTCAGCAATATACATTTTTCCCAAAAGTATGTATTATATTTCATCACAACCACTACTTACAATGCTTTATCTTCAACAGTTGTGATAAACTTTTGCTTTTGTTACTTAGTCTGTTATTGAAGCTGAACTTGGTGGACAAGAGGCACTCTTGAATAGTTCATTAAGTCAATATAAAATGACATCTGGAGTTACACAAGCAGCTGCAGAAGAATACTATATTACAATGGTCATGCAATTAGAAGGATATGGTCACGAGACATTTTCTGCTAAAGTGAGCCATTTTTTTTCTCATTAAATCGCATAAACAAAATTTATATTTCAGTTTTCACAATAAATGTATCTGTATTTTTTAATAATATAGGATGAAAGTAGTAATGAGGTCATTCTTGGTATTTCTATTAATGGTATTATGGTATGCAGTCCAAAAACTCAAACCACACATTTTTACAGGTAAATTACTGTAGACTACAAGTAATTTCTTTATCTTATTTTAATAACAGACATAGGTGATGAGAATTAGACTCTGTAACTTTTTCATTTCCTACTTCCTCTATATGATGTTTTACAGGATTTATACATAAGTCTTTCATCATTTATACTATTCACTAATTCACTTTTTAATTCTACTCTATGCTTGATACCAACATTTTTACTTGTATCGTAATTAGGATCTCCTTTTTGTAGGTGGAAAGATATCAGTAACGTAATCAATCACAAGAAGACGTTTAGAATAGAATGTCAAACGGACATGGAATATGCAAAGCAATTTACTTTTCGAGAATCACGAATCGCGAAGTATATGTGGCGTTTGTGTATAGCACAACATACTTTTTATATGCAACATCAGCAGACGCAACCACCAGACCGTCTGACAAATGGCTATTTTGTAAGTCGTACTTAAAGTATAAATTTTTATATTTTCTTAAAAAAAATAAGAAACGCTTCATTGCCGGCACCCATGAAAATGTTTTTCAGGAAAACGAAACCAATAACTCCAGCGAACAAGCTCCGTCTGTTAATTTAGATACTAATGGAACGGAAGACTATACGCGATGGACTAGTTATAACGATCTCTCGACTTCACCATGCCCAGTAGTATCTGTTTCCACAACAGATATAAATAATTTACGTGCCTTATTACCTTCATACAGACCAGCACCAGATTACGAGACTGCTGTAAAAATGAAGTACAATAACAGCGGGAACAATTCGCAGCCTTATTACGCAAATCAATCGACAATTGTTGGAACAGATTTATGCATTGTTGGTAATATTGTAAATCCTAATCTATACTAAATTGCAATTGTATAAAATTAAAAAAAAATTTTTGGCTTTAATTTAGAAAGACCATATTCAAGCAATGCTTTTCAAATATTTCAATTTCTTAATTTGTCATTTCATGTTTTACGATATGATTTTTTTGTATGTTTAGATAACTTAAATTATATTTATTAAAATTTTTAATGCCACCTATTTTAAGTATTTACAATGAGATTGCTTTAACAAAGTAAGTTGACTTGTACTATATATTTTACATACAATGTCAATAAAAATAATTTTAAATTTTATTTAAAACTTTGTAATTTTATTAGCACCAACAATAGAAACGTCATTTTGATTATACATATCACATAACAATTACATAACAGTCTTAATAACTTTAACTAAGGCTTCGGGTTCTGGTTTCTCTGAGACCCCATCAACTCTGATTCTAGCATTTAATAATGCTTCATTAGTTACAGGTCCTATTGCAATAATTTTCGATTTTTCTAATACATGTTTAGCATTCTGCAAAACGTTTATCATTGTTTCTACCACTGATGGGCTGAAAAACACCAATACATCGGGTAATTTTCCCAACGTTTTATGCAATGCTTCTTCCAAGCCATCTTTGGCTTTTGTTTTGTATACAACTAACTTTTCAACAATCATTCCTGCATCTGATAACATTTTTGGTATAGTGTTTTTAGCTATTTCACTACATGGCAGTAGCAGAGGTTTGTCCAAGTAATTCGTCATAGTTTTTATTATAAAATTAGCAAGATTTTTGGCGTTTCCACTTTCAGTACCCAAAACATTTTTCAAGCCAAGTTGTTTTTTTGCAATCATTTCTGTAGATGGTCCTATACAGAAACTAAGTTTTTCTTCCCATGGTTCGAAAGATGATTGGTTGTTTGTTTTTACCAAATTCAAAGCTATGACTGTTCTTGGACTTGTTAATATTAAACCTAAGAATGATAAATTGATTCAGTATTTTTCAGAAAAAATTGTACGAGATAATGTTCACCTGAATAAGAATCTGAATCAAGTAGGCGACTTTTTAATTCATCTAAATTGACAAACTCAAAGTCTAAAACTTCCAAAACTTTGCAATCTACATTTATTTCTGATAGGCACGTTTTGTAATGACTTTCTTTACTATCCGTTTCACTAGATGAGCTTGTACATAAGATAATGTTTTTAGTAACATTTGTCATAGCTACTTATATGCACATTAAACATGAGAATAACAAGTGTAAAAAATTGTTATAAAAGGTTATTTATACACTCGCGAATTCAAATGGATGGATAAATCCCTTAAGAAAGTATTTTAAATTACATCATTTTTGTACTTTCGTACATTATTTTTAATAAAAATTCTAAGCTAAAAGTTTAATAAATTTTTCCGTGTTGTGCTATACGTATTGTACAGCAGACAACTAGCACGTCAACCTGCTGACATGTATATATATAGGTTCAAACAAGTACTACCTATACAGATTAATTTTTTTACTCAATAAATATAATTTTTTTAATGAAATCGTAAAAATGAGTATTGACATTATTAGTGTCAGAACTTACTCAGGTAAAAAAAGTTCAAACATTGAATAATACAGTTTTGTAATAAATTTTATGCAAATTTTAAAATATTGAAATGGGAAAAAAATGTTGAATTAATTAAAAACAAGGTATTCTTTTTAATTTTAGCATCCTACAGTAATAATAGATACAACAGCAGTTAACCCATGTTTTATTTATTATTTAATATAACAAAGAAGCAGTAGAGCTAGATGATTTCCTCATTATAATAAACTTTCTTAAAAAATTAAATGTAGGCAGACTCAGTGCAGTGACAATCCATTATTATGACTGAGCAATTTTTCATACATATATTACAAACATTAATCTCAGTAACAATATAATGTTATTGATGATGTCAATGAGCTTTAGGTTTGACTGACTTGATCTTTTTCAATTTTTTAAGTCCATTTATGTTAGTTTTCAGTAAATTCCAGTATGCCTGCTGAAATTTATTTACATCCTTAGAGTGAATCTGAAATTCAAGAGAGTACAATTACTTTGAATTGTTAACACTTGCTTGTAAAGTAAGAAAGCATTATTTGTAACTGTATTGATTCCTGTAAAACATACGATTAAACACAAATTATGGCATATTGCCCACATTTACAATATTTAGTATTTCCAAAATTTGCGTTACTTACAACTGTAGAAAGTTTCTTCGTTTTGTATGAAGCCCTAACTAAACACAAGTACTCTGTAGTTGTGGGAAGAAGTGGTTTACCCTTCCTTGGTTCAGGCTTATTATGTCCATTAACTATAACATCAGTAAATACAATTGTGAATTGGAATGATCTCAAATATTCTTACCTGCTTTTTCATGAAACAAAAACATTCAACTTACACCTTTTTATTGTGAGAGATACTGAGCCTGCCAATCGTGACTTCTCAAATAATTTATTGAGTTCCACTAAAAACTAAAAGAAAGTATAAGAAATCATAAAAATCAACGATAACTGTATAAAAAAGCTTGTAATATTTTTAATAAAAAATTACCGGGTCGTTCTCGAGCAAAACCATTACGTAGCATATGCCTTCCTCGTCGTGATCGTCGTCGTCTTCGAGACTCGGGACTGTCAAAGTGCGTTAGCGCGATAGGTTATAAAAAAATATAGTGTCATGTATAGTGGTGCATTCTTATATATAGGTATACAAATGAAAGCAAAGCACACATACACCTGAACCTATATGATGATAAATAATCCTAATCGACGATCCAGTCAGCCGGTACTTACTTACTCAAGTAGTATAGTGTATCTGCTTAATTCAGTGGTCAAATTTGTTTACCCTCCCAATTTTTTAAAGTTTACGCATGTAGGAATGAGAAAGTAAGAAAAAGTGTCAAGGAAATATTCTTAAAGAAAAGTAAGTACTTCAATTGCATATATATTATTTCACCCCGAGATAAATAAATATCATGTGTACAGAGAAAAAACGAGCACAAACTAAAGCAGACAAACAACCGCGAAATTTTTAGATTCAGAATGGTCGAGACTTCGATTAGTATTCAAATGAATAACAAATGTTTTTATCAAGACACGATGAAAAATGAAAAAAATGATTTGCCATCGTTGATTTCCGATTTAAAGGTGATTCAACAAAAAATTAACCAAATTCTTACGGACCTAATTCAATCTGGACAAAACTCTAGCCATGGTAATGTAATAATTAATTAAATTCTGTAATAATTTTTTTCGATTGTTGCTGTTGTGAGAGTTCTTTTTTTTTTTAATTCGTAGAAGATAATTCAGGAGACGATGATGAAGAATCCGAAGAAACTGATGATTCGGCTGACGACAAAGACGAAAATTTAAAACCAAAAAAGTGTAAATACGTATAATAAAATTTTTCCGATTTTTTTTTAAGTTAAAACTAAACCGTGTTTGATTTACTGACGTATGTACCTACTTAATAGGTAACTGAAAAGCATACTACAATTGTTTGTTTAGAATTTAATATGCTAATAATAACTTTACGATAGGAAAAAAGTTGCTTATATTACATTCATTACACAATCGTGTAAATGCAGTAAAGTAAAGAAACAAAAATAAAGTATGTTCATGCATACAAAGATTTGTATCATCCAGAGGCAGATCGAGCCGAAAAGTATAAAGGGTGTGTTTAGTATCGTTCACCGACAACTTTTCGGCAACTTACATATAACTTACGATATCAAAAGACACGATTAAGTTGCCGAAAAAGTTGTTGCAAAGCATTACTGGAACACACGCAAAGTGTCGTTAGTATACACAATGATTGTAATCAGATCCGATCGCCACCAGCCAGTTATGCATAGGGTAAAACTCAACTCAAGGGCGCTACTGTCGATTTACTAATGGGGACGGGTCGGTCTACTTGCTCTTTTTCGTGACATTTTCATTTACCGACGTTCTGTTATCTGCTTTGTTTTGTTATATTACAATCAGAAAAAGTCACGAAAAAGAGCAGAAGACCGATATCAGGAACATATCAGACCATCACCAGTAAATGTCACATATCACGTGATCACGTCGAACATATGTATTGCGGAATACACCTAATAAGTATATAGGTATACCTGTATAGAGAGAATCACGCGTGTAAAACAGTCCGCCAAACGTGAAAAACGTAAAATATAAAATGAACGACGAATCGGAAAAATCTGAATACTTTGAAAATTATCAAGATATAGATGTGAGTAATTTATTTTTAAAGCTATTTTTTAACTCTGATGTCTGATATTCAATGTTTTAAAGGTTCATCATTTAATGCTATCCGACGAACCCAGAACACTTGCTTATAAAAATGCAATTTTCAATATGAAGGATCGGTTTGCTGATAAAATTGTGATGGATGTTGGCGCTGGAACTGGTAACATGCAATGATAATTTAAAATCTTCATATTGCCTCCTAAAAATGTCAGTTTACTGATTATTTATTTTAGGTATCTTATCAATTTTTTGTGCTCAAGCTGGAGCTAAAAAAGTATATGCTGTTGAAGCAAGCAATGTATCAAAATTAATTTCTCAAGTAGCGGAAGAAAACAATGTCGAAAAAAAAATCCAAGTGATATCAAGAAAGGTTGAAGACATTAATCCAAATGACATAGAAAAAGTTGATATTTTAGTGTCTGAGTGGATGGGTTTTTATCTACTGCATGAAGGAATGCTTGATTCAGTCTTGTATGCAAGAGACAATTTTTTAAAGCCTGATGGATTATTGTTTCCATCCATAGCTAAGGTATACACAGCTCCATGCGAGTTGTCCAAATTTAATTCATTTTGGGATAACATTCATGGTGTTAGTTTGAAGTAAGTAGTTTTTATAATGAATACAAATTACGTTTGAAAACTCTGTTTTTAAGTTGGTGATTATTTTTTCTAGATGCATTGCAGATTTCTATAAAAAGTCACTTTCAAAACCTCAAGTATTGACAGTACCCAAAGATGATACTTTAGCAGAAGACAAATTGTTAATTTGGCTAGATTTAAATTCTGTAACAACAGAGGAATTGGATGCCTTAGGAGGTGAAGAGACTGTAATAGTTTGTAATAAAGATGGTAAATATCAAGGACTTGCTATTTGGTTTGAAGTTGAATTTCCAAATGGCACATGTTTAAATACATCTCCTGCTGCCGATCCAACACATTGGAAACAAACAGTTCTTGTTTTGCCAAAGTCTATAGATGTGAGTGAAAAAGAGCCCATAGCTTTTAAACTACAGTTAAACAGAGATGTTTCAAATAGAAGATGGTATAAAGTACAATATGAAATGTTGGATGCTTTTGAGACCGAACATGATATACCTTGTGATTGTTATATGACTAAATGTATTGTTTCCAAAGCATACATTGAAACTCTTAGTGAAGAGGTGATAGAAAAATAAGTAATTAAGTAATAAAGAAAAATAAGTAAAAAATAAGTTTTATATTTTGTACACATTAGCCCAAGAGTCACTGAATGTATTTATTCTACCTTTGCTGATTTGCTACTCGAATTCCCTTGTCATGCTGTTTGTTGAATGACTCCATGGGAAATCACCAATATTATCTTCTGCAGAATATTTTATGTCAATTACTTCTTCCAGTTTTTTATTAAGATTATTTAAAAACCTAGAATTATTAATTGAAAAATGGGTGGCTTGCTGGTGTGTCATATTTTTTTGTTTTTATTTTTATAATTATGTTAAAAGAGTCTTCGCCTTATTGCGAATAAAGAGTACAAATTCACTCAATAAAGTAATTAACTTTTTTGTTAAAAGTTTAATGTATTCCTAAACAAATTTGCTTATAAATTTTCTTTACAAACGTTTCCAATTTTTTGTTTCGAATACTTTGCACTTTTTTTTTATTTATCACGGGAGCTTCAGCTAACAAGTGTCTTTAAAAAGTAAAAAAA